AATTGAATATGTTCTTTTGCATCAAATTAGTTTTTTTTTTTTCTTTTAATGTTAACCTCACACTTACCCATATGAAAAATATAATAATTCATCGGTCCAACTAGAAAGTATACATATTTTTATTTTAAAACGTTCAATTACAAAGTAAATATTTTATTAAATACTTCATTTTTTTCACAAATACCTTTACTTTATCTCACATTATTACTTTTACACCAAAAAGCAAAAACAAAAATGTCATTTTACTACTTTTAACTACCCACTATAATTAAAATACTATTATTTCTTAAACATCGCGCCAAAAATAAATGTTTACTTTGTGTGTGGACGGATGGAGTATTTTATTGTATAAAATATCATATCAAAATATTATAATAATCAAAACTGAAATAAAATACTCAAATACATCGACAAAAAATATATATAACTCAAATTTAATGATGCATTTTAAAATTTAAATTTAAAGTAAAATAGTACTCCTTATCCAAATCTATTCTTACTTTCTTTGTTTAGTTGTTATTTAAATTTATTATCATTTTTTTTTACTAAAGAAATATTATTTTTTCTACTTTTCTTATCAAAAAAATAAAAATTTCTATTTTTATTTTTTTAAACTCATATATAGTCAAATGAATATACAATTAAATAACGTAGGAGTACTATTTTATCAATGAGTTTAAAGAAATTATAAAGGGTTTGTTTATTTAGTTTCAAATTCCAAATTTTTACTATTTAGACTATGTATTTTTTTAAAAAAATACATTTTTTTCATAAAATATATCATCTAATATTATTTTATTATTAAATTCAAATCATAATTTTCCAAACATACCCTTTTAATCAATCACTAGAGCGTGATTAGTGACAAGGACAAAATTTAAAGTAAATTCCCCTTTTTGTCCACTCAATTAAATGTAATAATTACAATCCACCATGATATATAATATGTTTTAGAAATTTTTGATATAATATTTTGAAAATATTTAACAAATAATTTTTCAAAAAAAATTTAATTTATTGCACAGTTTTTAATTGTTTATCTAGTCAAGCAATTCACTAAGGTGAGTTTGTTTAGAGTTGGGATTTGAATAGTAAAAATTTTGAATTCGAATAGTTGTATATGTGATATAAATAGGCGTTGATGTTTTGAATGTAAAATTAATTTTTAGTATAATATAAAAAATAAAAAATAGGTGTTTGATTTGATATTTTTTGGGGGAAAAAAATAAGATGAATAGTGTATTTAAAATCCTATCAGCCGAACAAACACACCCTAAAAATTGAGTTTAAACAAAGAAAGCTTAAGAGATTTTTTGTTTTGTGAGATAATTTGGATTATAATTTTTTTTTTAATTATATTATTTCTTAAACACCGAGCTAAAAATAATTGTATACTTTATGTGTGGACAGAAAGAATATTTTTTTACTAAAAAAACATGAATAAATTTGAATGGCAAAAAAAAAAAAAATTGAATAAACTTAAATAATAGAGAAAATATATCTTTTTAAAGTATATATATTTTTTCTATTAAAGAAAAACACCCTAATTATTAAAAGTGAGGACCAAAATAATACTCCTTCCGTCCCACATTGATGTTTGGGTCACCATAGACACGAGAATTTAAAATAAATATAATTAGTAAATAATTAAAAATATATTAGTGAAAATATTTATCTTGTAATATAAATAATTATAGATTAAGATTAAAATATTTAATTAATTTAATTAAAATTAAATTAAAAAAATTAAAATGAGATTAAAATTTATAATCATTTTCTTTTTAGAAAATGACATGAGATATTAAACGAATAGAAACGGAAATATAAACATAATAGGTAGAACAGACGGAATAATATAAAAAAGTGATTTAGTAAAATCACTTAAAAAGGAATGTACAATAATATTTACTCAATTCGGCCTAAAACTATAATTTTAATTGGATTTGACACGAGATTTAAAGAATATTGGTAAAAAGTATAGATAAAAGATTTTTTTGCCCTTGCGAGTGTATTAGTGTAAAAAATAGTGACAATTGTGTAATAAAAATGAAAAAATATAAATAATTTTATAGTGATATGATTATTTATAAAAATAAAATTATTATTTTAGGACAGACAAAAATCATAAATAAACCTATTGTATTGAAACGATTAAAAGTATTATAAAAAACAAGATCTTATCCAAAGTAGTATGTGCAATAAATTATTATTATTATTATTATTAGTTAATATTAATGATTTAGGTGGCCTACCGACCAACCCCGCCACGTTCTGACGAGGCCGTACGTTGATCTTTCGGTTCCACCGTCGATTTAAAAAACTCCAATTTCTGTCCACCGTCCGATCAAACCAATAATACGACAATTACGGGAATTTTTCCGACCCATGTGATAGTGCTGTCCGCTCCCCGCTTTGCTGGCTCACCACCGTTATTCCGACACGTGTCCGGACCCGACCTTATCTTCTTTTCTGGTCACCGGCTGCCCTACCGGCTATTTCCGGTCACCCCGTAGTCATAAATACATGTATATTTGAAATTAAAATATTAATTTAAAATAATTATTTAATATAATATCAACCATATAAATATTAATACGATATTTTAAATTATAAAATTATTTTTTTAATATAATATAAAAATAAAAAATAAATATTTAATATAAATATTTATAAAAAAACATATAAAAACTAATAAAATAGTAGTAATATTTTAATAAGAGTAAGTAGAAAGTAAAGGTTTTTTTTTTTTTTTTTTTGACAAATGTGTTTTTTAAGTTAAATATGATTATGTTGTAATATAAAGTGATATTTTATCTCTTAATGTGTCTATATTATATTTTTTAATAATATTTTTCATAATTGTTTAGCTTAAAATATTAAATGAACAAATTCAAAATGAAATTATTATAAAATATATATTTTTTCTGTTTAAATTTAAAATATTATTTTTATTATTATCACCTGTACCATTTTAAAATATTTATTTTTTATTTTAATAAATAAATCATACATAATATCAAAATATTTTTATATAAATTACAAATATATAATTATACATATAATTAAGTCAAAGTAAAAATATTAAAACTTTCTAACCATTTGCACTGACATGAGTAGGACATGAGATATTAAAGAAAAGGGTGTTTTTTTTGTTTTTTTTTTCTTTTTTTTCTTAAGTTGGGGACAATTAAAAAAAGTGTATAATTTTTTTTTTTTTTATAAAATAATCTCTTCCTAATTTGTCATTTTCAAAAGATATAATTATATATTTTAATTATATTTTAAAATTTATAATTTATATATATTTTTTATTTTAATTAAATTATTTAGTCATTTCAATTTTAATCTATAATTATTTTTATTAAATTATCATTATTTTCACTAATATATTTTTTAATTACTTACTAATTACACAATATCTAAAACTTCGTACCTAAAATTAAATAGTACAATTTAGTTGGGACTGAGAGAGTAACAAAATAAGTAGGGGTGAGCAAAATATCCGAAATTCGAAAATCCAATCCGAAATTTAAAATTTGGTTCGAATTTTTCGGATTTGATCGAATTGAATTTTTAATAAATTTCGAATTTTCGGATCAGTATACTTAAAATCCGAATCAATCCGAAATCTGGAATATAATATTTAATATTTTTTTATTATATATTTAATATTTTATTAGAAAATATTATATTTTAATGTAAAAACTCAAATTTATTAATTATATTTTAATATATTTAATTTTTATATATTATATATATTTAATATTATAAAATAATAATAAAATATAATAGAATTTAAAAAAAATAATTAAAAAAAATATTTAGAATTTCGAATTTTTCGGTTTAGTTCGGATTTTTTAGTTCGAATTACGGATTTTCGGATTTTCGGATTTCGGTTATTTCGATTCGATTCGGATTGGTTATTTCAAAAATTTCGGATTTTCGGATAAGTTCGAATTTGGGAAAATCTGAACCGAAAATCCGAATGTTCACCCCTAAAAATAAGTGCAGTGCCAAATCCGAACCGAAAATCAGAATGCTCACCCCTAGAAATAAGTGCAAAAATAAGAAAATAAAAAAATAGATATGATAAGTGAGACAAAAAAAAAAAAATATTCTTTAAAAGAATGTAAATATTCCATCTGTCCCACGATAAGGATACTATTTTCTATTTTTTTCCGTGTACAATTTTCTAATTTAGTAATTGTATTGTTTACTTACATAATTAATATTCTTACAACTTCCAATATATTACACATGCTATGACTTTTATATCACACAATCTATTAAGGATATTTTTGTCATTTATGGGAGGGGAGGTAGTATTAGATCTGGATTGAGAAAGCATCATATTTATAAAACTCGTGTATATATAAATATTCATGGTCCCTTAACAATCTATCCATTTTTTCATTTTGATTCGTCCCATAATAAAGTATTCAATGTTTTTTTAGTAATTGTACTATCTACCTAACATTACAAATACCCTTCCAATTTACAATATATTATACAGATGTCATTACTTTTATATCATATAATACTAATAGGGTTAATTTAATTTTTTTTACTTTTATTTTTACTTTGTTTCAATATAATACTAATATTTCAAAATTTTGTGAATAAAATAAATGAATATATAGATACGGGAGGAAGATAATATTAATTTGATAAAAATAAGAGAATACATCAATTCAATGGCAACAAAAAAAAAAAACATACTCCCTCCGTCCCAAATATCATGTTCACATTGCCGTTTCTGTCTGTCCCACATACCATGTCACTTTCATTTTTTGAAAAATAACTACACACTTTAATCTTATTTTAAATTTTATATTTACTATTTACACCCCTCCTAAAATAGATACGTATCAGACACGGTATATAAGACGGAGGGAGTAAATAAAAAACGTACAATGTCAGTATTATTTGCGCGTCGCACACACATAACACATTCCTGCAACCGTGTTAAAAGTCAATCATAGTCTAGGCTCGTTCATGTCCGAACCTGAGGTTCGGATTCCGAGCCTCGCTTCTATAAATTGCTTGACGTTGTTAATGGCTAAGGATTACTTTACCTTTTTATACACGTGAATTTGGAATCATTCGATCGCCTGAAGGAGAGATTTTAATCTGTTCGGGAACTGAGTTTTGGTAAGATTATCCTTTAGATCTTCTGATTTAGCTGTTTTGTGTGTGTGTTTTTTTTCCCTGTCGGTGGACTGATGTGCAGATCGGTTTTTGGAGGAGTTTATTGGATTTTCTTTTTTATTTTTGAAAATTGAAGTCGCAGTTAGGGTATATTAGGCTGATCTATGGTTGATCGTTAGTGGAATGCGTTTGTTCTTGAGTTTGGGTGAAATCTGACAGTTTATTCAAGTCGATTCGTGGTTTAATTTGTATGTTTGCGTTGAAGTTGGATTTTGTTGTGTTTATCTTTGGAGTTTATGGTGCAAAGTTGAGTTAGTGAAGTGATTTTCTTCGGTTGAAAGGAAACGAAAGATCTGTAGAAATTTGTTATTCAAAAAGTGATGGAGTTCTGGATTCATATCGTGGAAGGTATTGTAATGGAGTTCTGGATTCATATCGTGGAAGGTATTGTAATGGAGCTAACTCTGTTGTTTTGGTAACAGGTGATTTTGATTTCGATTTTGACAGCAATCGATTATGGCTCTTGTATCTGGAGTTAGGTCAACTCTGAATCCAAACGCTCCGCTTTTCATTCCGGCGTCGGTGAGACAGGTGGAGGATTTCTCGCCGGAGTGGTGGGAGCTGGTGACGACGGCGACCTGGTTTCGAGATTACTGGCTGAGCCAACACCAAGGAGGAGATATTTTTGATGAGTATGGCTTCTGTGAACACAACGATGTCGGAATGTTGCCGGATAGCATTGATCTTGATGTTGATGAGGATATCTTGAATATGGAGGCACAGTTTGAGGAGTTTCTTCAGTCATCTGAAGCTGATATCCGAAGCAAATCGATCGAAAATGGTATCACATCTTCATTTTTTTGCTCGACTTTTTAAGATATGCTTCAAGATTTATACATGCTTCATTTTATGCTGGAAATTTGCAATTAAAATGGTATGATGCACGTCGCTCATCGAATTAACGGATATGATTGAAAATGGTATTATAGCAGCCATAATTCCTTATCACATCTTCGAATTATTGCTGGACTGATTAATAAGTGCTGCAAGATTTACAAGTCCTCGTTTTTTCGAATCAATAGATGTGATTAACTGTTACTCATTGTTATCTTTGTTTTGTTAATTAAACTTTTCTTTTAACAATTGAAAGAAATGAATTGATTTAGTAAGGTGAAGGTGTATGAATGAGTATGCAATTCATGCCAATGCATGTAAATTTTTTTATGTGTAGTTATATTGATTGAAAATCTAACAGTAATACTCAGCTTAACCTACAATATTGATTCGAATGCAATAAATTCTTTTGATGAGCTAGTGTCAAAGATCATTCGTTCTTGTTTTGCGCCATCAAAATTTTGAGTTGTTTTGGTAATTGTAAATAGTTAAATAAAAGATATATATCGGATATATGATAAATGGGTTCCGTTATGGTGCTGATTGGGGAGATCACTTATTTAGAAAATGTGTTATCTCTATATATATTTATATAGTGTGTAGTATTATTTAAAATATGTGTTGTTTGTACATATTCGTATGTTATATTAACATAAATTGTGCGATGTCTATCGTTTATGATAATACGGTGTATATGTACTTATTTAAGTAATCGATGATGTTTTTTCTTTAGGATGGGGCAAGAATGTTGATGTTGTAGTGAAGAGTTTGAGCGCGAGGAGTCCGAAGTCGCCGAGGGATGCGATAAAGTATTGGGAGAAGCCGGCAAAGCATGTGAGTCTGAAACACCACAGCCCTCGATTCATTCAGCAGCCGCGTTAGAAGTTGTCCGGAGAAATCGCTATGTCTTTTCTTTCCTGTAAGTTGTCTGTAAGTAGATGTGTTCATAGTCTTGATATGTGGTGGTTCTTGTTCTTCTTTAGATTCATGCCTAAAATTTATGTTGTCAGAAAAAAGAAAATTGATGTATAAAAGAAAAGTTGTAGAACTTTGTTGAGAAATTATGGCCAAAAAAAAAGAGTTTCTAGTTCATTGAAATGATTTTTTTGGTAATTTGGATTTATTGCCTAGATTTGATGATCCCATTTACTCCCTCCCGTAGCTAGCTATGTATACATTTGTTTTTTCATGGAGTTTTAGAAATTTTAATATTACACTGACATGCTGTAGAAATAAAGGTAAAAATATTAAATCGATCTTTTATTTTTATTGTATAATATAAATGCAATGATATTAGTGTAATATATTGTAAATTAGAAGGATATTTGTAATGTTAGATAGACAATACAATTATTACGGGACAGATTAAAATAAAAAAATAGATAGTAGATTAAGTTCTCATTGTGTCATTTAATAAATTTTTGTTTTTTTTATTTTTTTTTGTCTCGTAATAAAGCATTTATTTAACAAGTAATAGTATTATCTACCTTTATATTATATCCTAGTACGTACTCACATATATCGATCCTTACAACATCGAAAGTTTGTTCCGAAGTTCTTTAGCTTTGTTAGCCATTCCGCCAATCGAATACGCCTTCATCATTGTCCGGTACGTCACTTTATCGGGTTCGCACCCTCGTCTCGTCATCATCTCTATCACCCCTTTCATCTCCGCAAAACATCCCATCATTCCGTAGGCATCGACTAAACAATTAAAAAAAACGGTGTCGAGCATCACGTCCGAATTCTCGATAAACCGCAAAACGCTCGCGATTTTCTCGCCTTTCCCGGCGTTCCCGTAAGCTCGTACAAGCGAACACAGTGTCACGCAGTTCGGTTTGATCCTCTCCGATTGCATCAGCCGGAAGAGAAATTCCATCTGCTTTAGGTCGCCGGCTCGTCCGAAGGCATCGATCACGACGTTGTATGTGACGACGGTCCACGAGAAATGGTACCGCTGCATATACTGCATCACGGCGCTCATTTTCCCGTAGTTTTCGGATTTGCCGTAGGAATCGAGAAGGATGTTGAATGTCTTGATGTTCGGCTCGATCCCTGCGCTTTGAAACTTCTCGTAGCAGTTTTCCATCATTTCGATTTGTCCGCTCCCGCCGAACGCTCTTAGCGTCGAGTTCATCGTCCAAACGTCGGGTCGGCAATCCTTCCGCCTTAGCATTTCCACGAGCACCGATTCCATCTCCGTAAACCTGTTAGCAATCAAAATTTTACATCTGTTAGATAATGTAAATGACTTTATTTATCTACAAACGGGAGTCAGCCAACAATATTGTCGAACAATAAAGAAAAAAAGTTCGAAAATCGCATACTTCTTTGATTTTCCGTACGCGTCGAGGAGAGTATTGTACGTTATCGTGTTTGGATTGATTCCGCGTGACTCCATTTCCGAAACTAGAGATTTCACTCGGTCGAAGTCGTAAACATGAAGCAACGACTTAATGAGAATCGAGTATGTGTGGACGTCGGGTTGAGACGACCGCATCTCTTTCATCTTCTCGAGAATATGAAATGCTTCGTCAAAACGTCCGCTCCGACTATAGGCGGACATTAGAGCGGTGTAAGCTTCATGGTCGACAACGCAACCTTCGTCGATCATTGCCTGAAATAGCGTATGAGCTTTCTCGGGTTGCTTGCACTTTCCGAGCATGACGATTAACTTGATGTATATGCCGGAGTTCGGCTTGTACCAAAGTTGCTCTCGGAGAAGTTCGAAAACCTGTAAATCGTAGATTTCTCAAATATTAACTTTCGACAATGACTTCAAAAGGTAAACCGAGTTCGAGATGTCAATCCTCTAGATTTCGATGATCAATACAAAACAACCTATTCAAGAACATTCAATCAATTACCTTTCCTCTTTATTTCAAAGATCAATATAGACAAGAACATTCAATCAATTAGTTAGGTGACACAAAGTGGCAGATCGAAAGCAATATGAGTTGACATCAATCGAAACAACCGATCAGTTATGCTCATTCAAGCCTTTTCGTTTGCTTCGCTATCTCCCGGACCAACCGATCAATATATATCTCAGTTGGTCTAATTTCAAAGTTTCTATGTCCGTTTGTAGGTTTGTTATCCAAATTTGTACTATTCATACCATATTTCTCCTTAAAAGACACAAACAATTACTATTCATTTTTATATTAAACTAAAAATTGATCTTACATTCAAAATATCGCATCAATACCTATTTATATATACATTAAACAATTATTTCAATTCAAAATCTTACTATTCAAAATCAAAACCTAAAATTCAAATTCCACAAACAAACCAAGCCTATATTATGCACCATGAAAACAATTTATCCTCCTTCTGTAGACAAAAGAAATCCAAATCAAATATAAGCAGAAATCAAACAATTTCTAAATGTTTAAACATTCCAACACATCAAGGTTCTTAGAACTTCGGAAAGAAACTATATGCAAGAATAAAATTTGTTCCATTCCATATTTCCTACGGCACCGTCTCGGCATCCAAAACCGATTCCTACGGCACAGTCCTTTTATATCACATACAAGCACGTTGTATGGCATCATCAAGCACAGTTCAATTCCAGCTGATTCTCCAGTTTTCTTAACAAATTCAATACTAATAAGCTCTAACAAATCACAAACCCTCCCACACTACCAAGATTTCACAGCTCTTGTAGGATTTGTCTTTTATTTATTTATTAATTTCGATTCAGGTATGCATCTATGCAGGAATAGAAATATATTAAGCATGATGATACTGTTCTTAAGCTGTGACCTTTAAATTGAAACCTTCTTTTAACCAATCTTCAGAAAAAATAAATAAAAGCAGAGCAATCGACAATCAGTTGCTAAGCAATAACTAACCTTCAGAGCAGACTCCCAGCGTAAGGCAGTGATGCGCTCATGAAGAGCTTCGAGAACAGTCCTCGGCAACAGCTTTTTACTACCACCCTTCTTCTTCTCAATGACGGCCTTCGTGGCTTCTCTCCTCAATATAATAGAAATTGCTTTCTTTGAAGCTATTTTCCTGTTTGTTGCCTCCTTTCTCTCTATAGCTTCGGCATCCATCTGCTTTTTAAGGTCGACTCTTCTTTCAATTGAGGTAACCTGATTCTTGTCGTCACCACTGTCCATCGAGCAAATTGAGGATTGTGCATCAAACGTGGAGTTGCAGCGCTCTCGTGTCCTGCAGCTGAAGGGTGCCCGGAATGGATTTGTGATTCCGGCAAGGGAAGCCATGGCTATGACTATTGTGACTGGAAGTAAAGCCAAGCTGGACAAACACAGTTTCTTTAGCAACAGCCAATATGTAAATATATATATATAATTTACGGGAAACAAAATTGGAGCAACTAAACAAAATAGCAGTCGGTGTAACTCAAAAGTCAAAATAACAAGAACATCAATCGGGTGTGTTCCTTTTGAGATTTTCCCATATTTTTACAATTTAGTCTCCACGTTATCGAATAAAATACACATTGTCCTCTCATAAAATGTCACATAAGACATTATTTCAACCAAAAAAAAAAAATAATAATAATAATAAAAAATCAAACCTTCAAATTCAATTCAAACTAACAAGGAACGCCTTAAGAATTCCATCTACCCAGAATACAACAAACACATTGAATTCGGGCATAAATCAATCCAAATTGTCACGATCATGCAAAAGGTAAATGAAATTGAAATTGTACAGCAACAAGGATGTGAGATCTCACAAAATTAACAATCAAAAGATTATCACCAAGAAATCATGCTTCACCTATATTGAACAAGCAAATAAATCATTTCGAACTAGTACATTTATCCGGTGATATCTCTCCATAAAGGCCTCGTAAAGAGCAGTAGCATATAGAAAATAAAGGAAAAATTAAGGAATCCACTCCCTTTTCACAGGTAATAACTTGGAAAAAGATACTCTTAAAGTTTATAAAGCAGAAATGGAGTTATGAACTCCATCTTTAAAGATAGATCAACAAGACATTTGCAGCTTCGATAATGAAGTGCTTTTTTGAAGAATTACCAGCCACTAAACAAGATAATAACTACATAATGAATTTCATGCTCTACAGATACTTAGATTTAACACCAATCCTTAAACATAATAAGATAAATCCATAGACATTATGGTATTTCTTAAATCAAACAACACCGTCAAATGAGCATAACAAATAATTAGCAATTTCCTATTTCTCATGAATTTAACTTGAAATAGATGCATAAAAACATATACAGAATCACTAACCGTAGCATAACCTCAAGTAATCTGCATTGGAATTGATAATAGAAAACAATCCTAACCCCAATATTCAACAACAAACATTGAAATTAGAATCGATAACAGCTTCAAACCCTAAATACCATCAGGCACTGAAATTGATAACAGCAAATAATTACAAATTAGTGCAGGAATTGAGCTTACAAGGCTCCTCCCTTCTCCGAAAAAGCAGTAGAAGAAGACGACAACGACGGAGCCGGAGAGAAGAGGACAGCGAAAGTTGAAGAAGAAAACGATGAAACCAGATAAGAGGAAGAGAAGCTATGGAAGATGAAGATGTTGCCGGTGAACGCCGGTTGAGTAATGATACAATTGGAGTGGTTCAAACCGCCGGTTCTCCGGTTGGACCCGTGACGGGCTGTTTTTGATTAAAAAACCGACCGGTAGGGCACGTAAGAATTTCAAACACGTGCAACATTTTTGTCTGTAATAAAACATAAAATAAAAAATAATTAAATATAAAATATTTAAATAATACTATATTTAGGGTGTGTTTGTTTGAATGATTTGTGTGACTTTTTACTATTCATACAAATTTTCTTCCAAACACATTAAATCAAACACCTATTTTTTTTTTATATTATATTAAAAATTAATTTTATATTCAAAACATTATATCAATATATATTTAATGTTTATTTTAGGCTTTATTATCACTTAAATAAATATATATATACTACCTATGTCACCGCTAATCTATCCATTTGGATTTGACGGTCATTGTTTTTAATATTAAAAAATATTCTTATATTTGTATAATTTTTTTATAAATATCATTACATTAATATTATAAGACACCAATATAAATATTTTTGTCATTTTTCGTTGAATTATACTATATTTTGATATAATAATTAATATTTAAATATTAATATGCAAAAATTAAATGAATAGATTGGCGGTGCGAAATAGTATATTTTTTCATTATATTTTTTCAATCTCACTTATCATCTTTATCTTTTCAGTTTTGTCTCTTCACTTGTCTTTGTTATTTAGTTATTTTAATTTTAATTTAAAATTATTTTTATCATACTAATATTAGAGTTTGTTTTTTTAACAAATTTTTTTAAAATTATATATTTGAATTATGAGTTTCTTAAAATAAATTTTTTTTCTCACAAAATATTCTATCAAACATTATTTTTATATTAAATACAAATTATTTTTTTTTTCAAATGAAATACAACCTTAATTTTTTAAAACTATTATATTTAATATTATTAATTTAAATTTGTGTGTAGAAAACAAAATATTGCAAAGTAATTTATTCCCCACAGTTCTACTTACCATGTTCATTGTTGTCGTTTCTGTCAGTACTATATCTTATGTTATTTTTTTTAAAAATAATTATCCATTTTAATTTTATTTTAAATTTTTTAATTTAATTTTTTAAATTTAAATTAAATTAATTAATTATTTTAATCTTAATTTATAATTATTTATTTGATAAAATTAATTATTTTGGCTAATACAAATTTTAGGAGGGTTGGAGTAATTTGCAAAAGGCCATAACAAATTTTAAAAGAAAGTCCATTAATATCCCGCCAAAACCGTTGCCGCTAAATTTGTCTACTTCGAAATTCTTACCAAATCGCAGTCACATTCTCTGTAATCCCTCATTTTTGATCTTCCACCCACCAATGGCTCCGCGAAGAAGAAGGATCTCTGCACTCCCGTCTACATCTCCTATTTCAATCGGTGAACAGCAATTTCATTAATTTCCAATCCGACTTCACTCGTTTTTACCCGTCGTTTGATTCCGATTTTTGTTTCTCAGGGAACTGTGAAGTCACCGTTGAAGCCAAGAATTTCACTTCCGAATCGGATAAAGACACTGTCCAGATCATTCTTTCAAAATCTTCTAAAATCAGAATCTCAGGTAGGCTGTTTCTTTTAGTGCGATTTGCTGTTGGAAGTGATCGGTTTACTTGATTGTTGCCCTGTTTCCCTCTTTAAATCTATCATTGTAGTTTAAAATTTATTTATTGATTTTGGTAGTGGTGGAAAAGGAAAACGAGCAACACGATTTTGGGGCACAAGCCGCACAACCGAACCAATATGGTGATTGTTTTGCTTTTAATCTGTTTTAGACTTGAATTGTTTCTGGAGATGCTTTTGGATTGTGTATGATTATACAGTTCTTATTTTGCTAGGTGATTGCTATTTTTTGCTTGCAAACCCTAAAGATTCAGATGACCAAACTAAGTGTCTACTACAGGTATTTTTATAGTAAATTGTCAAATTACACAAACTAGAAAATGTTAGCTAATCTAGAATTTACTAGATCATTTATTCATTTTGTAATGTACAAACAGAGAAATTTCCAATTGAGCTGAAAAAATTATGAGACAAGTGATCGCTTTCCGTCTTGTTAATACATTCCTTTTGTTGTTGTTGTTGTTGCTTTTTTTTTTTTTTTTTGTGACAAATTTAGCACAGATATTACATAGCAGTGTTGCTGATTGGGCAAGTTTGTCTTATTTCAATTCCTGTTCTCATTTTCTTTCACTTTATTCAAATATATGAAAATCTGTCAATTGTGATCTTGACACTAGTTCCATCTAAATTTATAATGTTCGAGCTTCTAGCGTTCATTCAGACATTTCTTCATGTAAAGTTTGGCCTACAGTTTGAAGGCAAATACATTGACATACTCCATATGTGCATAAATTGCCTAATGTTGTTTCAGGAGGTACTGGCTCTTTACATGAATGAGCTACCTGCAATGAATTATGCTGCTAATACTGGAAAGCGATCGATGTTTCTTGAAAGATGTGTGACAAATGGGTAAGACAACTTTCTTTTTTTTTTCCCCTGTGCATGCATTATATGCTATGTTTACGTCTTCTAAACAATTCTATTCTGCTCCATGGAAAATTTTGCTATTGCCTTGCAAACTACAGTAATACTAGACGAACATATTCCATCATTTACCTTTAATGTTATTCAGAATGTTTCAAAATTCAAAATAGCCCTGGATCTATAAGATTAATAATTTCTATTTTTTGTTTTCTTCCTACAGGAAATATTGCACCTTACTTTTGAAGTCTAAGAATGATAAAGAATCTGAAGAGGTATAGTTTCTTTTGCTGCAATCCTTGTAATATTATATGACCTGTTTTCACCTGGGTTTGTTGGTTTGCATGATAAAGAATGGTAATGCAATTTCAGACATTGGAAACCTTCTGTCTCTTACACTGCTTGATTTTATTCCGGTCCTCCCATTTTGATAGGTCATTGGAGCAATCACTTATCAAATAATTCCAGCTGATACACAATATGCCGAGATCCCTCTTGCTGCTGTTAGCTCGAACTTTCAATGCAAGGTATAGATGTTTTGCATCTGCCTTTCTAAGCTAGAACTTCAATGCGACCATGCCTGATAGAATACTCTGAAAGTTCCACAATCTTTTCCTTATCTAATGATGTATATGCTCTATTAAACAAGTTCTGGCACTTCAAATGTTATAACTATTGCATACTTGTTTTTGTCTAAAGTTTACTTGATAAACTTCAGGGATTTGGTCAATTGTTATACTTGGAATTGAGAAGAAGACTGCAGAGTGTAGGCATCTGTTCTATATTCTGTTGGGGAGACAGAGAATCTGAAGGATTTTGGCTCAAACAGGTGCTTTCTGAATTATAGAATTGAAAGCTCGGTGTATTTGTGGAGCTGTCTATTGTTACTATAAATAAGTTTTCTGACGTGTCCATTCAATTTGTCCACTGCAAATATCTTTTCAGTAGTGAAGTGGATGCTTGGATCTATAGATCTTATGTACACCAAAGGATAATGTTTAAATTCCTTCAGAACTATAAGCATAAAAGCATCGATAAAGACATAAATTTATTCAGCTGTGTACAATACCTGCTTGATGGTGTAGACATATTTGATATTTTTGTTTCTAATTTATGTATAGACCTTATCTCATGCGGAGGTGTAGGTCTGGTACTAATGTACATTACCTGCCTGCAGGGTTTCAAAGGAATTGGTGAGGTGGATAAAAAGGGTAGAGCTCACAGACTCCCAATAAAGGCTGATGTTCGAAAAGCATTATGCTTTCCTGGTGGTTCAACCCTGATGGTGTCTCATCTTCTGAAGGATAATTTGCTTGAGCCAATAAAATTTCTGAAAAGGTGCTTACCATTAAAATCTCCTGAGCTAAATTATGAAAACCAAATGGACTATGCTCCACAGAATCCTGAGACTCCCAAAGAAGCTAATAAGAGACCACAGGATGAATCCTTCGAGTCTGAACTATTGCCTGTTAATGGTAAGCATTTTTATTAATCTTGAGGATTGAACACCTTTAAAGTAATACGAAGACTCATGATTTTGAATACGTTTAATCCAAAGCATCGATATGTCTTTATACTAGTGTGCTAAGGTTGAGATATTTATTGTGCATTTTAATGGTTTCTAAATTGTTACATGTTGATGCCAAGTGTGTCACATGTTCTTATGTTTTCTTACATTTTTAGGTTGTCAGAAGCTAGGCCCTTTGCCTATTGGTGGCGGTGTGGCTAATACTTTGGAAATGAGAGGTGGGAATGAAGACGATGACGATAACTATCGCCCATTGCTGGAAAATAAGAAAAGGATATGGGAAGCCTCATTGACCTCACTGAAATCCAAAAAAGTGAAGGGTGCACATTCGAGTGATTGTCAAATGGGTTTTTCATCTCCTGTTTTGACTAGTGACTGCAGAATCGAAGATTCTCTAGATGTAAATTATTTGTCTGCCAGTGGAATTAAATTTATACCTGATTCTTTAGGGACCAACTCATGCAGCAATAGCATGCAAGAAAAAGGTAATGAGTGCCGAACCGGTAATATCACCAATGAGGACTTTGGTTACACAGAAATTCCATCTGCAGCTAAATGCTGTCGAATAATGCTGATGAACATTGCTGATGAAGATAAGAAATCTTGTCTAACCAAGGTACTACGTACAGACAGCTTTCAGGATATTAATGCCTTGAATGTGATAAGCTTTAGAAGCAACTTTTTAAGTATTACTAGTATTTTATGATGTTAAATTTCATCTTTCTTTCCTAAATCCTTGATTCACTGATATTCTCTGTTTGATTCTGAATGATTTTGCAAATACAAGTTTTCATAAGCCTATTTCCTTCTCATCTAATAGCATATCCTTTTAACTCGGAAGTTACGATATTAACATTTTCTCATCACCTTTCTTTGGTAATTTCTGTTGAATTAGATAATTGAAGATCTTGGTGGAGTTGTTGCTTCTGAAGGAAATGAATGCACACATGTTGTCACAGGAAAAGCTAGAAAGACATTGAATTTTTGCACTGCTCTCTGTTCAGGGTAAGTTCTTCGAACTAATATTATCTTACTTCCATAAAATATGTACTCGCATGGAATTTATTTTCTCCTTCTGCCTTGGCCTCCACAATACATATAACTCATTCTCAAATGTTCTAAATATTTATAGTAGATGGGCTGGAAAAATTCTTGAAAAAGCATGACTAGGACTTGTTGGGAATTTTTTTTGTTTTGGCCATGAGGAATGTATCAAGAACCTTTTTGTTGTGTTCATGCTTCAATTTGGTGATAGGCCTTCGTATTTATGTGTTCTTGTCAATGCATGTTCTGATATGAAATGGTCTACGCAGAGCATGGGTCATTGTGCCTGGATGGTTGAAAGAAAGCTTCAAGAAAGGAAAATTTGTCGGTGGGTCCTGTTTACATACATGATAATTATAATTTATATACATGCTCTTATGCTTGCTGGGGCTCAAATATGCTCACACTTTTCTGCAGATGAAACTCCTTTCTTTTTGGTCGATGAAGATTACAGGATTAAGTGCAAAATGGAGCTTAAAGATGCAGTTTTTAGAGCAAAAGCAGCTCCAAATGCGCTGCTTAAAGGTCTTGATATATGGCTGGCAAAGCACGTTCAACCTCCGGCCATTACTCTGTCCGCCATTGTTAAGGCTGCTGGAGGAAATGTAAGTTGGTAAAGCAATAAAATAGTAATACTATCTATTATGATCGAACAAGATACTAAAGAAATGGTGTTGGTGACAATGCTAACTAAAGCTGAATATTATTCACATGCTATTTTTACGATCATCTTGTTCCTTGATATATGATCAAATTTTAATTTGAAACATATCTCTGGAAGAATATATATGTATATATATTTTGAATTTATATTCTCTCTATTGTGCATCCCCTTTGGAGGCTTGATGTTATGCCAAATTACATTTGTCTGCTTTTATGATTGTGACAAGTATGTGTAAGATAATACGATAACTCTATTACTGTTCTTCTAAAAATTTCTTTTGGCATAAAATATTAAGGTCATCCGGACACAAGATGAAGTAAAGGATACATCAAAAACAATCTTTTTGGCTTGTGAAGAAGACATGGATGAAGCCTTATTAGCAGCAAAGCTCGGGATATGGACATTCAGCAGTGATTGGCTTCTGAACTGTGTCATGAGACAAGAACTTGATTTTGACGCTCCTAAGTTTGCCGAATCTCTCTAATCTGCACGAAGATACGGAAACAGTCTTCTGTTTTGATTTTATAAAAAGTACATATGAAACATCATTTTCTGGTGGTTATATTTTTTGACACTTCCTTTTGGTATGACTCTAAATTTATGAAATGCTGCTGATGCTTATTTTTGTTCGATTGCTGTATATATCGAGTTGAACTAGTGATCTTTCCATGGTATTAGCAATTTGTTTATAGGTTACTAGTATGTATATGGATTTTACTTTAGTAACAAAGGATGGCTGTTGATCCTAATCTAACACTAGAACAATGAAATTATATATATAGCATTTGTAGACGGGGAGCTTAAATTCGAAGATTTGATCACGTGGTGGCAATAAGTTATCTTTGCTACGTTGATCTGACTATTATCCGGCAGGAATACTTAACTGCGATTAATCATATCTTTTTGAGTTTTTTCATAAATCTAACCTTGCATTTCAGCTGAAGAAAACTGTAATCAGTCTCCTTTTCCTGCAGTTTTGGCGACGAATCTTGTAACTTGGAAAACAGGTATGCTGAATGTTTTCGGAAGGTGGATTTTGGATAGGCATTGATCAAATGGCACGTACGAGCATAAGCTCAGATGCTTCCAGTTTCTGTTATAGTTCTTTTGTGCATATATGACACTTTAGTCATCGGTATCCTACAGTAATGTGCTTGGAAGACATTGTCACCGGGGAAGATCGATTCCAACAAAGCTGGATGTCGGGATGAGCTCAAGGTACGACACTTTTTATTGGTGAAACTGAAATGGTGTTGGCTCTCCCTAGGCAAGTGTTACTTATAAGTTCATAGATCCATTTTCGAATATTTACTTCCCCTGCATTTTTTAGTGTTCTGTTCTCCGATTCGATTAACATTTTGATTCCATTTTTCTTGCTTCTATCTGGTGCTGTTATTCTGCAAATTCCTAAACAACGATGACGAAAAGAATTCATATTCGAGTTTGATTATGTTTGTTTTCGAATTATTCTGCTTATTTGATGATGACAGGTAAATGTACTGTGGACACTCCTAACTGCAGGAGTTTTCGACAAGAACCCGCGAATGGTATGTTTTGACATTGTATTTGTTGAGGAGGATTTCATGACTGCATCCCTACATTCTGGCCAGGATGATTATATGTATCATGTATATATACACATAGATACACCAGCTATGGAGATATAGATACAACAAAAATATATATATATATATACCTGTGTGATTCAGTTCAACAGAAGAGCCCAAAACAAAGACATGAAAAAGACTGAGGTTTTGGTAAATCTGTTGATCTGATTGCCTCCATTCTTGCCCATATCTTGCTGACCTTTAACTACTTCGACAGGGAAGATGCAGCCGCCGACAGTCGGGTTATCGGTGATGACTCTTCCGAGGCCCTCGAAGTCGCAGGCGTCCTCGTCCTGAAATTTCGACTGAAAATACATGTTGAATGCATAGGAAACATTCTGCATGAAGGTGAGCTGGCTGCAGGACCCCCCGGGGGCGAGGCTGGTGCAGTCGGCCTTCGAACATGCAAACTGAAAATGCTTGTTGACGAGCGTCATGTCCGTCAGGTTCCCGTCGAAGACACACCATCTCTCCGGCATTCTCATGATCCCCTTCGCCGTTGTCGGAAAAATGTCGCGGCCCTGCCCGGAAAGATCGATTTTGTACTTTGGATCGCCGTAGGACGTGTAGATCCCCCAGTGGCGGGAAAACGGGTACTTGTATGGCATTCGATTTTCGTCGGCGAGCGAGTTCAAGAAGGCGTTGATGGACCTTCCGGGGGCCATGGGAGTTCCTCTGTTGCTGGCTACCCATGGGAGGAATGTTTTGTAGAACCTCTCGGCAGTCGAGGTGTTGGCACCGGGATAGCCGTCGGTAGGCCATCCGACGTTCCCGATGACGAGCTCGATGTCGCCGGCGCCGTATTTGGTCATCGCCCAGAGGTAGGAGTCGTAGAGGAACTCGACGGCGTTGGTGTAGATCTTGCCGTTGTCGTTGATGACGATGCTCGATTTGCCGTCCATGAAGGCGAATTCGGGGTTGAGGAACGTGTTCTCGGTGACGAACGAGATGGGGAACATTTCGAGGAACAACGGGCTGCGGTTGGTGCGGAGGATGTCGATCGTTCTGTTGATTTCGGCTCGCATTTCCTCGTTGAACTCCGCCAACGATGGCTTTGTCATGTTGAACTTGAACGCCGCCTCCGTCATCCCGATCGTCACCTTGATTTGTTCGCCGTACCCGGCTTCGTTCAGCGCTAGCTGGACATTTTGCATTGCGGTTATTGCCGTGTCCATCACCGTCTTGTTCGTCAACCCGTCTTTGAATAACTCGTTTCCCATCACGACGTACCTACATCGATGAAGAATCGAATGGTTCGTTAGATTATTTATATTATCGATACGTCGATTTTCCCACCTAGTGCCTACGTCGAAGAAGAATCGAATTATCCATCAGATCATTTTTTTATATGATCGACTCGTCGACTTCCCTAGAATGTGCCTAAATCGAAGAAGAATCGAATGATTCTTCAAATTATTTTCTATATTATCGACACGTCGACTTCCTTACGATGTGTCTACATCGAAGAAGAATCGAATGGTTCATCATATCATTTCTTATATTATCGACACGTCAATTTTCCCACCTATTGCCTACATCGAAGAAGAATGGAATGATTCTTCACATCATTTCTTATATTATCGACTAGACTTCTCTTTACGTGTAAGGTGAATTTACGCTATATACAAATCTTGTACGTGGGAGATTACAAAGAAGAGGTAGTATGACTTCTACTTCTGATATCATGTAAACGACTATTTTACCTGACGTTAGAAACAGTGAGATAAAGCTTAAATTTAAAGAAATATGATCGCTTATTATATATATATATATTATGAAATCAACCAACAGTTTTATTACCTGACGTTAGAAACGTTGAGATACGGGCTTCTAGTCCGCACCCATTGCCTCGCAGTGTCGATCGAGCTGACGACGCTGGTCTGAAAAATCCCGACGCAGAGCTGGATGCCGCTCCCGGCGAAGGCTTTAAGGATGTCTTCCTGCGAAGTATAGACCCGAGCCGCGGATATGTTGTTTTGCAAGAGAAGATCGACCACCATGGATGGTATCAATCTTTGGGCACTCACTCTTCCCCAATTCATCCCTATCGACCCCGCCATGGCGCCACGTGTCGAAAACGCGACCGACAACGCCAATGTAAGAACCAGCATTGTGTTCTTGGCAGCCATGGAGGATCGACCGATTGATTGATTGATCGATCGATCGATTTCTTGCCTGAATTGAGCCTGAGACGACGATTTTTCTCGGACCCAATTCAGGTACGAAGTTATTTGAGGGGAAGAAGATGAATGTGGTTAGTTAGTTTGTTCGATCGATCGTTCGTTGGATGTCCAAAGATAGATGTGTTTTTGGTTCTTGCATTACAACTTAGGACACTTACCCTTTGTGTCTATATTTAGTAAGTGAACTGCGTGGACATAAAATATTGCCGTATTAGAGCATCTCCAACCATGCTCCATATCAGGCGTTCTAATACAATTTTTGCTGCTGAGCTGCTGAGCTGCTCAAATCTAGCGACATTCCCAGCACCAAATTTAGAGTTTGCTACAGTGCAACACCATTTTGGTGTTGCACTGTAGCAAACGCTATTTTTTTTTTTTTAAATTATAAATTTAATTTTTATTTTTTAAAATTTGTTTAAATTTTATTTTAAATTATAAAAATAAAAAGTTGTTTAAAATAATAGAAAAAATTGAATATTTGAAGAATAAAAGTAAAAAATAGAGTTATGGTTGGAGTAAAATTATTGTAGCAACTGCATATTTGGAATTAAAACCGGATAAATGGAGATGATGGGTTGAAGATGACCTAGTTGATGAATCTAATAGTGAGTGGTAGTGATGAGACCATGTTGCAGGGGTCAACTTGATTAGGGATGTCAATGGGCCAGGTCGGATTGGACCCGAAATTCGAATTGGATCCAATTATATTTTGATTTGAATATACTTAGAATTTGACCCGAATAATATTCGATAAGACTCGATGGATCCGACAAATTCAAACAAATTTTTTACAATTGTTAAAATTGGATCCGAACCTGACATGTATTAAAATTTATGTATTTTATTCAAAATGTTATAATAAAATAATAAAAAACAACTAAATTAAACTAAAAACATAATGTAATTTATATATTATTAAAAATTATTTTTCATATATATCGAATCTAGATCCGGATAGGGTCACTTTGGACCCGATAAAGATACACAATACCTAACCCAAATCTGAATTTAATATCGGAATAATTGAACATGACCCAAATAAATAACTCCTAATATGCTAAACTTGATTATGTGTGTTAGAGGTATTATTTATTTATTTATATTTGAAATGATATGAATGTGATGTTTCGATGGATTTTAAGAATTAGTAAATAAATAATTTTTTTATTTTTTTATTTTTCATTATTATAAAAAGAAGTTTTTATTCTTTTCTTTTTGTTAAATTTTATATTGGATCAAATGAACATAGGATGAGTGTTCATCTTCGTTGAAATGGTCATTTAATATTTTCAAAACACACCTAAGTTTGTTTATTTATTTTTTATTAAAAAAAAAAAAAAAAAAAAACGTACAACATCGAAACCATCGTCCATTCATTATCATCAATCAAAGCATATTCTCTTCGGCTCCGGATTTTTCCCTTAAACCAAAATAATAATAATAAAAATAATACTATCTCCGTCCCGGGTACCATATTTGCTACACTGTTGATATAGTATTTTAGAATAGATATAATCAATAGATAATTAAGAACATATTAGTGAAAATAATTATTTATAATATAAATAATTATAAATTAAAATTAAAATAATTAATTAGTTTAATTAAAATTTTAAGAAAATAAAATTAAAAAATTTAAAATTAAAGAAAAGTGACATGTAGGATAAAAATTCAACCGATCGAGTAATAAATATAAATAAACAAATAAATAAATTTACATTTTCTAAAATTATTCGGTCGAATCCAAATTGCAAACATTTTAGAAATTCGATCCCCCATTTCGATTTCTCCACCAAACCCTTAACGCAACCATGCCATTACTGCCGCCGATCATCTTCCTGATCTTCCCAATCATCCTCGCCGCCGTCGCGCCGGAGAATAATGACGGCGGCCGCCTCCGTATGGGCGCGGCGTTGAAGGTTGCGGTGTTCGCGGACCTGCACTTTGGCGAGGACGCGTGGACGGCGTGGGGCCCGCAGCAGGATTTGGATTCAGTTAGGGTTATGTCGACTGTGCTCGATCAAGAGCACCCCGGTGAATCGTTTTGCTCTTACCTCTATTTTTTAATTTAATTTTTTTTTAATAATAATTTATGGAATTTTTTATTATATTATTATGATGATTGTGTCTTGCTGTTGCTGCTGCTAGATATTGTTGTTGGGAATTGCAGTTGAGTTTCTTGTGGAAGGTGAACCAAAGGATGGTTTGTGGATTAATTAATGGTTTCTGTTAATGTAAAGTTTGAAAGAAACATTATTAAATAAAGGTTTAAATTAGTCGCAAGTTTTATACAAATAGAAAACATAAAATGTTTAGATGGTTTATTTTTTAATAAAATAAATAAATAAATAAATATTCAATTATTTATTTATTTAAGATATTTTGCTTTTTTATTTGTATAAAATTTGTTTATTTAGAACCAAATATGAAGGAATATGTTTTCTACAAATTTTACATTAACAAAAGTGGTTTTACGCAATATGAATAATTGATTCGAATTAAATCGAAATTTAAAATTTGGTTACTTCTTCTATTCCACTTAAATTGTCCATTTTTTTACTTAGACACTGAGTTTTATGTATTGGATAATTAGTTAATAATTAAAAAATGTATAAGTAAAAATAATTATAATTTAATAAAAATAAATTATATATTAAAATTAAAATGACTAAACAGTTTATTTAAAATAAATTTTTTTATAGATTATGAATTTTAAAATGTGAATAAATTGTATAATTATATTTTAAAAAAATAAATTATGTGAGATGGAAGAAAGTAGAAAAAGTGACAACAAATTAAGTGAGATGGAGAGAGTATAATTTTTGGATTAATCAGATTTAAAATTTGGTTTTTTTATGGTATAAGGAGTGATTTTTTTTTTTTGTTGATTTTAACTTTTGATTTTGAAGTATTACAACTTACATGATATAAAATAATTTAAATAGACACAATATATAATTTGAAAATCTTGTGTTGAAATTAAAATAACATTATTTAATAAAAATCAATTTTAAATTACAATTAAACAATCTCCAAAATCTAAAATATATAACTCTTCTCTAATTGTCTGCTCAAATAATTGTACGAGTTTTAATAAAAGTACGTAATAAACTATTACCTTTTGCTTTTTATAGTAAAAATTTTAAAAAAAGCATATTACTTTTTTGTTAAATTTATTTGGATACGATGATTTAGTATATAAAAGTGTTATTCCGAATATATATTTCTTTCGTTATCCAAATTTATATTTATATATTTTTTTATTTTCATAAAAATATTTTCGTTATTTTAGGAAAAAAGTACATTTTTGTACTTTTTATTATAGAAAACAAAATATAACAATTATTATTTACTTTTATTAAAATTTATATCCACATATTTGAGACACATTTTGATGACGGAGAGAGTACATTTATTAGTTATATTTACTTTTAGCACAATATTTTACATATTATAATTTTGATAATTTTTTTTTTTACTATTTTGCCCTATTTTGGGATGATTTTATGAATGGCACTTGGAAAAGAAGGTAAAAATAGGAAAAACTGTAAAAGTATTAGGACATCCAAAGTTCGGAATAATAGCAAGAAATTTGGAACATAATATTGTTATCGACCTGTAACTACCCATAATTCAAATATTGTTTAAATTTTCCATATGCATTTTTTTTGTTCATGCTCTTTTATATTAATTTTTTTATTACATGGAATCCGCAATGCGCTACTCTTCGAGGGCGTACTGTAGGAATCCCCTGTGGAGCGTAATAGCCTGCCACTTTTGTATTATGCTTACATGTATTCATTATTTGAATTGGAGGTATGAAATGAAACTATTTGTGGTAGATTGGGTAGTTTTTGGTTAGAAAACACAACCTCAATGAATAGCCATTGATCTTGATTTTAGTCGATGTAATGTTCTAACAACTGTCCGGCCGCGGCAGATTTTGTTATCTATCTTGGGGATGTGATCACTGCCAACAATGTAATGACAAAGAACGCAACCTCGTATTGGGATCAGGCGTTGTCGCCTGCAAGAGACAGGGGAATACCGTACAGCAGTGTTTTTGGGAACCACGATGATGCGGCGTTTGAGTGGCCGTTGGAGTGGTTTTCCGATGCCGGAATTCCTGAAGTTCACTGCCCCGAATCAAAAAGTGAGTTCTATTGTCTGAAATTTATGTTGTAAGAATGGGAAAGCTTAGTTCAGTCGAATTTCGCAATATTAGTTGTGTTGTAATTTACACACTTGCATAGTTTCGAAAATTATACTAGGTTTGGATTTTCGGTTTTAAGTTTGAAAATAGTAAAAATTTTACTTTGGGTGTTTTAAGTTTGAGTGGCCGTTGTGTATTTGTTTGTGGGTTTGAATTCTTAAATAGTAAGAAGTTGAATTTGAATAGTTGTTTGATGTGATATAAATAAAGATTGATGTGATGTTTTAAATGTATAAATTTGTAGTATAATATAAAAAAAAAGTAATTATTTGATCCTATATTTTTGAAAGGAAAAAAGAAACTGAATAATAAAAATCTTAAAACCCACAAAAGAGCACAAATGTGATATAAATGGATGTTTGAAAAAATTAATTCTTTTTGTGTAGTAATTAGATATTTGTTGGATCGTTTTGTGGAGAAAATTTATGGTAAATAGTGGGAGACTAAAATTAAACTTTGAAACATGCCCGTAATGTTTATATAGTCGTAGATGTAATACGGGATAATAGCCCCGGTTTTCGCCTGTAACTTTTTTCTTGAAATGATGTGTGCATCAGCAATACAAAAAAAATAATATATTTATAACGAAATTTTATGTCTAAAGTTAACGTAGCTAACGTAATTTCATCTCTAATTCTGTCGTAATGTTATTAATAACGGAAAAAAATGAATTTAGAAATAAAAATAATTCGTTACAAAAATATTATTTTCTTGTAGTGCAGGTGGCGACGAGTGCAGCTTTAGAGGGACGGCGCGGTTGGAATTGTCGAGAAGCGAAATTCAGTGCGATCCCACGTTATCTTACACGAAGGGCGGTCCAAAAACTTTGTGGCCTAGTGTTTCGAATTATGTCCTAAAAATTTTGTCGCCGGGTGATGATGAAGAAGATGTTCTCCACATGTATTTCTTTGATTCGGGAGGTGGTTCATATCCTGAGGTTATATCGAATGCCCAAGTAAAATGGTTTCAGCAAGAATCTCAAAAAATCAACCCGGGCTCGAGGTGGATGAAGATCGAGACCTTAATTCCCGAGCCGGATTCTTTTTTTTCGATTGTTGATTTGTCGGATTTTTTAATTTTTAGGGTTCCGGAAGTTATATTTTGGCACATTCCGAGCAAAGCTTATGAAGTAGCTTCGAAGCAACGGTTGGAAGGACGTTGCGTTGGATCGATTTTCTTGGAAGACGTCGCCGCTCAAGAAGAGGAAATGGGAATGATGAGAGTTCTCGAGGAAAGGGCTTCGGTTAAGGTAAGTTTTTTACGGTTGTATATCTATCGCTATCTCGTTATTTTTATTAATTTGGTCGCAAAAAATTTTTGAACATAAGGTTGTCTCCCATGTAGTTCTAATAAATGCATCATTGTCGGGTGAAAAATATGTAAATATGATAAGATACAAATGTATCCTTATACTAGTTTGTTTGGTTGTGTTTTAGAAATACTAAAATTTGAATAGAAATAATTGTTTAATACAATAGAAATAGAGACAAAAACAACTAGTAGATGAATAGTAAAAACATGCACTCCTTTGTCATTTAAATTTATTATTATTATTTTTTGTTGTCATATAAATTTATTTTAGTTTTATTTTTTGAAAAAAAAAATAACATTTTTTTTAAAAATTCTTCTTTAACCTAAAAGGTAAATTTTTTTATTTTTATCTATTTTTTCTAAAACTCGTGTCCGGTCAAATGAGCATATAATTAGATGACGGAGAGAGTATTAAAAAACAAAACCAAACAAACTTGAATCGTGCACACGGTTTCATGAAAGATTGGATGTTCGAACTTTGCTTGAGTTTGGCTCGTTAATCATAGTTGAGTCTAAGTCGATCTCAAAAATATATTTGAACAACAATTATCATGTTATGTCAGTTAGGCTCGATAAATGCTTGAATTCGTTTACCAATTAAGCGAGCTTGAGTTCAACCCGATTAAAAGTTCAATAAGTTTGAGTTTAAAAATGAGCTTGGGTTTGAATAGCAATTCTAGATGTAAATCATGCACAAACTTTTGCTGAGCAAATAAACTTTTAAGTGAGATAGTCATTTTATGTGCTGATCATTTTTAATTAATTCATAATATTTCGATTGTGTATAAGGCCGTGTTTGTAGGACACAACCACGGACTCGATTGGTGTTGTCCTTACAAGAGCCTTTGGCTATGCTTTGCTCGCCACACTGGCTACGGTGGATACGGGACATGGCCTAGAGGGGCAAGACTTTTGGAAATTAACCGGGAGCCGTTTTCCCTAAAATCGTGGATAAGAATGGAAGATGGAGAAACACATAGCCATGTTCTTTTGAGCTCTTGACGATTTCTTTTTCATTTCCGCCATCTAATGGCGCGGGATTTGTATATATTATACAATGCTTTGTGTGTGTGTGTATATATATATATATATATTTGTTCTTCGAAATGTTCAATATTAATCGAAGCGACATAAAGGAATTGCTCTTAATTGTGACTAGGGATGGTTCAATGTACTATTTCATCCGCCTTTAAGGATCACATTTTCATTTTGCGTCATTGTACTTAACATTAAAAATATTCTTATATTTGTATAATTTTTTTTTATATATATATATAAATGTCATTCTATTAGTATTATAAGATATTAATGGAAGTATTTTTTTGTATTTTTTAAAATTTGTACTATGTATTAATATAATAATTAATATTCAAATATCAATACGCAAAAAGTAAATAAGACTCTTAGAATTGGCCATAGGTAGTAGTATATTTGGAATTTTGTATACAAATACAAAAAAAATTATATGATTTTGGAGAGATTTTTTATTATGATATAATTTATACGTAAGTTATGTTAGAAATAAGAAAATGATCCTACATCTGACGTCATGATTGCTGTGAGCTTTCTAAAATTATATAGGTAATATAAAAATAATAAATATGTGTAATATATTATTTTTTTAAAAAAAAATATGTTATTTATTTATTTATTTTTTTAGAAAAAGAACACATCGTAGTACTCTTGTGTAATTATATTTATTATGTTGACTCGTGATGGTGAGGTCATGGTTTAAACTTTGACGGTTTCAGGTCACCTGTCACATATGGTTTACCTGTGTGACTTGCCGAGCCTAGTTTGCGGAATATTATGTTCCGTTGAGAATTTACTAGGGTGTGTTTGTTTGGAGGATTGAATTTTCAATCCACTATTCATCTAATTTTTTTTTTCAAAAATATCAAATCAACCAACTATTTTTTATTTTTTATATTATACTAAAAATCAATTTTACATTCAAAATATTACATCATCACCTATTTATATCACATCATACGACTATTTAAATTTAAAATTTTTACTATTTAAATTTCAACTCAAAGTTCAAACCCCAAAGAGAATTAGATAGAAAGTATAACTTACAAAACAGAATATTGTTAATTTATATTTGAAATTAAAAAAACAAATAAAATTATCTGAGTTTTAAATTTAACTAGTCATTATGATATGAATATAGATTGACTTAATATTTTAAATTTTAAAATTAAATTTCAATATAATATAATAAATATTGAATTTCATATTTTCAATAAATTTATTTTTAAAATAGAAAAAACCGTGAAAAAAAAGCTTACAAGGACATCCTTGTCACCCCAAAGGTGTCACAATTCTTGGGATAATATAATAGCTGAATTATGGTCATAATTCGAATAGTATAATAATATTGTTGACTGAATCTAGGGTTTCGTGCATCACATACTATAATGATGATGATGATTATTATTATTTAATTTATATTTTATTATTATTATTATTATTATTACTTTCCACTATATGGGTTGCATCATTTGACATTACAACTTTTGTCAATCTTCATCCATCCTATTCATCGCCCAATTCTTGAATTAAAAATAAATCAAGATTAATTATACTACAAGAAAAAATTATTTTTTATAAATATAATTAAAATTTATTAATTTTGGTTTCAATATAAAATTTATATCACTTTTGATTTTAATATAATCAAAACTTATCAATTTTTTGTCCAAGTATAACCAAAACTCATAATTCTTGGTCCAAATATTTTTTTTTTTTTTTTTTTTTTTTTTTTTTTTTTTTTATCAATTTTAGTTATAATATAACCAAAACGCATCATTTTTTATCCAAATATAATCAAACCTTACTTTTTTGGTCCCACCGTCAACAAACCGACAGAAAATGTTGACTTGAACTTGCAAGATTGTGCAATTTATTCGAATATAAATATAATGTTTGATTTCTTTTCACGTCAACATTTTCTGTCGGTTTGTTGACGGTGTGACCAAAAAAAAAGATTTGATTATATTGAGACGAAAAATGATGAGTTTTGGTTATATTGAGACTAAAATTGATAAAAAATTTATATTGGGACAAAAAATGATGAATTTTGATTATATTGAGACCAAAAATGATGAATTTTGGTTATATTGAGACCAAAATTGATAAAAATTTTATTTTGAAACCAAAATTGATGAATTTTGATTATATTGAGACTAAAAATAATTTTTTCCCTTATACTATTTTACTTGAGCATTAAGAATAAGAAATTAAATAAAGTAAAAAAATTGAGAATATTATAAAAACTTTATTAAAAAATTGATGTATTTCCTCCATCCCATTTACTTTGTCCTCATTTCACTTTTATTTGTCCCATTTATTTTGTTATTTCTTTAAAAAAAATTATACACTTTAATCTTATTTAAATTTTTTAATTTATATAATTTTTTTAATTTTAATTAGTCTGATTAGTTGTTTTAATTTCAATACTATGTACAATTATTTTTATTAATAAATTTTTAATTATTTATTAATTATATCCCTCATAAATTCTCGTATCTACGGTAAAAAAAACACTGTAGCCGAAACAGAAGGAATATAAATAGAAAAAATAACAGCAATTTTATTATTATTTGTTAAAGAACGGGTAATAAAAACATGAGTGAATAAAGTTACTTAATAAAGTAGATTGTACATAAGTTTGATTAACAATAAAAAAAATTGAGACTTCGGCTTTGTTTACTTGCCGAATTTTATCCTGATTTTATTATTTCGAATTATTTTTTTCTCAATAAATTTTAAATCAAATAATAATTTTTTATTTATTTTATTACATTAAGATGTAATTTTATTTTTAAAATATCACATTAATATATATATTTATATTATATCAAACAACTATTTCAGTTCAAAATTTTACTATTTAAAACAAAAACAAAAAATCATAATCTTACGAGTGAAAACATAGTATTATTCATAAAGACATTCTTAAAAAAACATTGATTCAGTACCTTATTTTTCTTTTAATATTCATAAGAAAAAACTTATTTTTGATTTAAAATATTATATTTAATACTTAATTTTATTCCAATTTTTATTATTTTAAAATAATTCGAAAAATAAAAAATACTTGCAATTATTTATAGCTGGATAATCCTCCTACTTTAAAACTCATTGAACAGCTAGAAAGAAAGTCAAGAACACACTTTCTGCTGCTTCATATATAATTTATACAATTATTTGTTACTATGACAGCATCACAAGGTGGGCCTCCAGCCGAAAGCTTTGTTTGGTTGTATTTTAGTATATTTTAGTAACAGTAAAAATTTTAAATTTGACTGTATTTTCATATTTGTCGATAATAGTAAAATTTTTGAATAATCGTTGTAAAAATAGATTGAGCAAAAACAAACCTAGATTTTCGACAATTACAAGGCTCCATCGCCATTCTAATTTAGATTCTTTATTATATTAAAAATTAATTTTACACTTAAATAATTATAACAATATTTATTTATATAATATAAAATAATTACTCAAACTTAAAATTTTTGTTATTTAAAATCCAACCTCAAACAGATGCACTCTTAGGCAGTTAATGCTCATTGTATTAGTAAAAAAAAAAGTAAATTATACGGTTGCGGGTTCCCTAGTCATAAAAAAAATAAAAAAATGGTAAATTATATTACACTCTCATGTGTTTTAGTAAAAATATAAAAAAAACTCGGTGTTTTATTTATTTCGTGAAATTCTCTTGTGTAAATGTAGAATTTACACGAAACACCTTTGTTGTCCAAAACTGATATTTTATTCTAAACAAAGACCCGCAAGTTCTATATAAATAAAAAAATAAAATATCTTGAATAATTTTTTTGAATAAAATAAATAAATAAATAATTGATCAATCATTTATTTTTATATTTTTTTTTAAAAATCAGATAACAATTTGTCTTAAATGATTAATCTATTATTTATTTATTTATTTATTTATTTTATTCAAAAAAATTATTTAATATATTTTACTTTTTTTATTTGTATAAACTTACGTAATTTAGGTCTTTATTTGAAACTAAACATTAATTTTTGACAAGGATGATGTTTCGTGCGAATTTTATATTAACATAAAGAGATTTCATGCAATAAATAAAACATAAGGTATTTTGCATTTTTAATAAACACAAGGTATTTTTGCATTTTTACTAAAAATACAAAGTATTTCCTGCATTTGTAAATATGATTTTACAACAAACTTAATTAACAAGAATTATTAAATCTATTGATAATACTTCTTTCATCATTCAGACTTTTTTCATATTTTTTTGAATTGTCATAAAAATTTATTTTTATTTTTGTTTTTAGCAGATGTACATTCTTTTATTAAATAATAGAAAGTAATAATTATCATATATTTATATTAAAACTCGTACTAAAATATTTGATCACACAATTGGATAACAAAAGTAGCATAATTCAAACATAATTATTCATTAATTATAGTAAAATAAACAAAGTCCGAAATGATTATTGATCACAAATTTATGGAGATGGTTAAAGTTCTTATAAAGGCTAATCAATACAACAAATTATCCGAGTATTACTAGAACTAAATTAGCATGTGTTTCGTAAATTATTATCATATATAGTCAGTTCATATTATGTATTTTGTACTATACTAATATACATTGTGTGATGTGTTATAGGTTCATATCAATACATTTATGTTACGGAAACATACATTTCCTATTGAGATCAATTGTAACTTGAAAACGGTACGATGCTTATATTTCAAATTAACACATATAAAATATATAAATAGTACATGCTATTTGTAATAAAAATATGTATCGTATATGAGTATATCATATATAAAAATCAACTGTTGCGTGTAATATGTAAAACTATATCATATACGATTAGTTCATGTGCTGCATTTATATTATGTTAATATAAATGATGTGACACTCGTAGTAATATCGTGTGCTGTCTGTTATCACACAATCTAATATCAGAAATTCAGCACTATAACTGTCGTGATTGTAACTTATACGGGATAGACTATTATCAGTACTAATTAATTCTAATCAATTTTCTTTTTTAAAGAACTACAACATATGCAATGTAATGTGAGTGATAAACATGAACCTATCTCTTCAAATGATTTGACTTGTCCCATAAATGGACCTCTCCCAAAAAATCTATGCCTCTTTCTATATCATGAGATGATTTTTGAAGACTAGGGCCCTTTTCTTTTTAAATCATGTACTCCTTCAATCTTACGACGAGTGTTTCTATTACCGTAGATACGATAATTTTAAAAATATGATTGATAAATATTAAAAAATATATTATTAAAAATAATTATATATTAAAATTTAAATAATTAATTATTATAATTGAGATTAAAAACTATAAATATATTTAAATTAAGTAGAACAAACGAAAATAAAAAAAATAAACACTTGATGGATGAAATAATATTGATTGCAAGTTTAAGTATATTTTAAAAGTATTTTATATATGATATTAGATTAATTTGAAAATATTAAAAAAATTTAATAAAAAAATATTTGACACAGATGTACTCTCTTGTTCCAATTCAAAAAGGTTTTTTTTAAGTCTTATAATATATTAATAAATAATAATATTTTATTAATTAATGAAAGTATGTAAATAATTTTGATTATTTTGTTTTTTTTTTTACTTTATAAATAAATTAATTATAGGTGTAATAATATATTTGTAATAATAATAAAAAAATTATTTTCAATTGAAAAAATATATATATATATTTTTGCATATGTTACTTTTAATATAAAAATTTATTATTTCCATAATATTTTAAATAAAAGTCAATGTTTGTTACTTTTTACGCTCTTAAGAGTAAACATATTTGTACAATATATCAAATAAAATGTATTACTAAATGCCATTTTCACTTGCATTAATTTTCAATTTCAACCCTTAATCCATTCTGTATATCAAAATCAATTAATAAGCGTAGTAAGTATATCTTTAGTTCATAATCATTGTATATAAGGGAAAATTGTAAAAAATATATTTCATATATATTCAATTATTATTTTTGCATTTTATTTATCTCGTCGACAAAATATATTTTATATGTTAGAAAAAATATCATTTATGTCATTTAGCCGCATTTGATGTTACGCAACAACTGTTGCGCGTGTGGCCAAATGACAAAATAACGACTTTTGTAAACGTGTACGATGTATTTTACCAAACTATGCTCGACCTAGTTTGCAGGCTATTAAGTTCTGTCGAATTTACTCAAAATGCACCGAAAAAATAACAATTGCAAATTTTCACGTTATTAAAAAAGATGGTTATAATTCAAATAATAAATAATACAAATAATAAAATATTCTTATTTTTTCACAAAAAATTACCACAACAATATTGTGTTATGTTATAGTCTATTAATTATATTTTCAAAGATATTTTAGTTACGTGGTTAAATTGCACAAAACCTACATGTAGTTTCATAAAATTGCGCCAAATCTCCTATACTTCTAAAACTTTGTCAAACAACCTCGTGGTTTCATAATCTTTGCGTCTAACGCTAAATATAAAAAAAAAATGAATATATTTGTAATTTTAGGCGTTTATAAATTGAGATTCTAAAATTTATTCGCAGTTTGGACATATTAAGGTCAAATACCGTTAAATAAGGATCGTCGAGGGGGTTAGATGCAGTGTTTATGAAATCACGAGGGAGTTTGACGCATTTTTAAAAATATTGGGAATTTGGCGTAATTTCGTGAAACCACATGTGAATTTTGTGTAATTTAGCCTACTTAAGCTCGCAAGTATGAATTAGTGGTGTAAGAATGGATTCATGATCGCGAAGTTATTGATTCAAATTTTCGACCCTTATGGATCTATCACGACCTATTTCACACCCTAACCACCCCTAATAAAAATAAATAGATATATACAAAATGAGATTATTATTATTACAAACATTTCCTCAAAAGTTGCTTTCACAATCAGTATCGATGAGCACATGCTATGCTCTTGAAAGCACAACTAAACAAATTTCTGTACTCAAAGCTTTCCGCAGCCAAACAAAATAAGCTTCAGATTTAATTAATGTATGTCACCCCCACCACCATCATTCCCACAAACCCTCATCCAAAAGTTTATTTTAAATAAAATAATAAAAATTGTTGCCTATTTAATTTGAGGAGTATTATTTCTGGCATTATAAATCCATGGCTACCCATTTCTTCTTTATTCGATGATCTGTTTGCTTCTTACAGACTTACTCCATTCAGGTATGCATCTTCATCCATGGCTTTTTTATTTTTATTTTTCATTTTTCTCGAAGAAATTAAGGTTGACTTCTTCTTTCTTACATTTCAATCATGGGACATAATCGAAAATTAAACAGATGAAGTTAATGTAAGAGTTATCCATATGGGCAAGAAAAGGAGGTGGCTTAGTTATGTGAAAAGGCTGTTCTTCATTCCCAAGTCGAAGACGAATTCTGATGAGGTAGATTTAATCGAAAAATTATCGTCAATTGTGTTGCCTTTAAAATATTATATAGGTTTGGTTGGATACCAATATTAAAAATTAATGATATTTTAATATTAAAATGAAATAGGTAAAAAGTAACTGTATGGATTGAATGATATTTTATTTCAGCACTTACCCTTGATTAGTTAAAAATTTAATTATCTTAATTATATTAATAATATAATTAAATGAGATAAACCTAATGGATAGCCAAAAAGTACAAAAGAGATATTATTGGAAATTTATTAAATAATTATAAAATAGTGGGATAAATAAAAAATATAGTGATAAATTGATTATTATTTGTTAGAAATAAAAATAGTGAAATCGTGGACAGATAAAATTGCATGGAATTAAGTACTAAGTTTAGAGGACGATAAAAAAAAATTTAATTACATAATTTTGGCTAATGATCAAAATAAATAGTTACATAATTTTTGCTAACGATAGAGAGAGAGTAATTTTGTTATTTATGATTTAAATAGTAATTCAGATGTGATATATGTTTTTGCGAATAAATAATTTTTTTATAAAACTCATAGTAGTTGCATAGTAAAAAAATTGAAATCAAACTCTAAATGAACGCAGCCGATTCATATTTCATTTCGGGTACATTTATAAGGATTTATGTAAGCTTTTTGCATCCTAGGAATCCAAAAAATGGACATGGTTTTTCGAAAGATTCAAATTCGGAGAGTACCGGGTGATCGAGCCGCCTCAAAAGGCCATAGACGAAGCGACAGATGAGCAGAGGAAGCGCTCGTTGGCTGTCGCCATTGCAACAGCAGCTGCTGCAGAAGCTGCCGTGGCGGCTGCCAATGCAGCGGCCGAGGTTGTCCGTCTGACGAATGCGCCATATGAACTCGACAGGAAAAATCATCGCGCTGCTGTCAAAATTCAATCTTCTTACCGAAGACATCTTGTGAGTCTCTCTTAAGCATCGTAAAGTTGCGCCCAAATGTCTGAGTTTTGAATAATAAAAAAATTTTAGTTGGAATATTTTTTATATGATATACATAAATGTCATGTGATATTTCAAATAACAAATTAATTTTTAATAAAATTTAAAAATATTAAAAATAATTCTAACAGAACACGTAAGAGAAATAAATAATTTTCAATGATTTTTTTAAGTGATTTTGTTTTTTAAATAAAAATTACTTATGAATTTCAAACAATACAAAAATGAATATTGCAATATTTAGTTGATGCTAATGTAGTTTGTTATTTTGTATTTCAAAAATTTTAAAAATCAGCCTCCCATTTCATCATATCCTAGTTCCGCCATTGTGTGCAAGAATTGTCTATTTTGATCGAAATTTTGTATGCTAAAATTGAAGGAAAGAAAAAATTATATGCGATAAATGATGATAATTGCGAATTTTCGTACAAATGTGAGGACTTGTTTTGTCAATATTATTGCGCAATAGTACCTCTTGTTATTTTAGGACAAAAAAATGCGTCCGAATGTAGTTTAAACTTCGGGTTGGAAATTTGTAGGCGAAGAAAGCGTTGAATGCGTTGAAGGGAGTGGTGAAGCTTCAAGCGGTGGTTAGAGGGGAGCTAGTGAGGCGTAGGGTTGTCGACTCGTCGCCATTAAAGTCATTATTTTTTTTGACGGCTCAACACGAAAGAAGAGTTCCTACATTGCTCGATTACCTTAGCCACGGCAAGAAAATTCGAAGTCTCGGCCAAAAGGGAGGGAGCAAATCCGGAGAATTACACGTGAGTAATGAGAATGCATTTTGTTCATCCTCGCCGTGTTTCGGATGGTCTTAACATTTTTCTATTTTTTTTTGGTGACGATTGGATTTGTTATTTTACATTTTTATTTGTAGAGAATTTGGGATCCGAGCTTGGTTTCGAAAGAAGAAATGGAGGCTTTGTATCTTCAAAAACAAGAAGCAATCGCTAAACGCGAGCGTATGAAGCAATATTCGTTCTCCCATCGGGTAAATTAACAAATTAAAATTTCTAGTCGAAAGTAGAACTATTAATCGAGTCGAGTATCTCATTTTCGAACTCGACTATGAGTTTTTATCGAGTTGAGGTTGTTAAGAATCTTATATGGATTGAGTGCAATTTCGAACTCAAGTATATTTACTCTATCTGTCTCACCTGTATCGTCTCAATTTTTTTTTAGTACATTAAAAAAAAATAGTATAATGGTAACTGAGTTTGTGTAAGATGAAAATATTTAAAAATACCTTTGAATTTAACAAGTTTAAGGTGTAATGATATTTTGGTAAATAGAAGTAAGAATGCAATGGTAATTGAGTGGTGACCATCCATCCTCATTCAAAGTACCTTTTTGTTTTCTTTAATAAATTAAAAAATAATAGTATTTTATTAATCAATGAAACTTTGAAAGATAGTTTTAACTTTTTTGTCATTGTAATTACAAATGAAATGAATACTTTTTGTAAAATTTAAAAGTATTTTTGATATTTATATATGAATTACTTTTATTATAATAGAAAAAAATGATACTTTTGAGTGTAATAGACGAAAGTGATAAAAAAATACTTTGAATTGGACAGAGGAAGTAATGTCCTAATCAAAGGGCCTATTTGATGTTGCTTAGTAAATTTGAAGATAATAGTATTTTATTAGTTAATGAAAGTGTATAAGAGTTTTTGATATTTTTGCTGTTTGACTTTACGTATAAAGTAATTGTAGGTGTAATGATATATTTGTAATTTAAGTAAAAGTTATTAGCATTTTGGTACTAGTATATGATTAATTTTTCTAAAATAGAAAATTGATACTTTGAAATGGGACAACCGACAATGATAAAAATGATACTTTAAATTGAGATAGACGGAGTATAAATTTATTATCTTATCGAGATTATTCAACTCGATAATTTTCCGACCTCAAGCCAAGCTCGATCTTTAAAGAGCCAAATTCTTCAGTAGTTCAGCTCGTTTAACAACTCTAGTCGAGAGCAAACTTTATTTATGCTGTATCCTATGTTCGCTAGGAAATAAGAAGGCAACACGAGCTCGACGCAAATCCGAAGGACGATGGCGACGAGAAGTCGAGGCCGCTATCTCATCGGCTATCGGAGCTAAGGTTGCGGACTAACCGCGGGCGCGACCTAACGGAGGAAGTGAAGTCGCCGTACTCGCAGCCGAGAAGATCGTTATGTCACGTGAAGCATAAGTCGATCGGCGACGAGGAAATATCTTCACCTAATTCTCCGGTTCTCCCGACTTACATGGCTGCGACGAAATCTGCGGCGGCGAAATGTCGATCGCTGAGCACGCCAAGACAAAGGCTGAGGCTATGCGACACGTACTCGGGCGAGCATTCTTTGCGTGACTTTCGGCTCTCGTCGTCGTGGAGTTTAATCGACGGCGGTGAGATGAGTTTCGGGGGCCGGAACAGTGTTTCAAGGCTTTCGACTTTCGGGTCGACGCTACGCTGAGGTCGATACGGCTCGGATCAGCCCCATTTTTTAATTTTCTTTTTTCCGGGATGCGCCGTCGCCGTCGCCGTCGCCGTCAAAATTCCGGGGTTATTTTTGGCTGTTGCAAGAAGGTTTTCTACTTTGTCTGTTCGAGTTTGTTTGTAGGATGATGTATTTGTGCAGATGATCTTTATCTGTCTTTGTTTTGTGAAATTGTTGGAATTTTTTTTTTTTTTGTGAGGTATAGAAAATATAAAAATATTACTTTTTTTTTAAAAAAACATGTGGAAAAAATACATAGAAAGAACAAAATCACATTTTGCTGAGATTTCCATAAGGGTTTTTATCCATTGTTCTTCTGAAAATTGATTTTGATATATCATTTGTATGTACTGAGGTTGTCCATATTTAATAGCGCCGACAACAGCGGTGTTTTAGTGAACTCGTAAATGTGAGGACATAGATTTAAACGTTGAAATTTAATATTTTTAAAAAGAAAAACTAATTGATTAATAAAAAAATCTTAAAAATTCTAATACAATATAGGTAAATATACGTGATCTCTATTTAAGTAAAAAATAAAATTATATATATTCATATGTTAGTGTTAAAAATATTCTTTAATTTTATTATAAATTATAGATTTATTATTGTTTCGTACATAAATTAACAACAAATTTGTCAATTATTATTTGTTTTACACATTTTATTTTATTTTTGAATATGTGCAATTTTGGGTAATTTTGACAGCACACCAAACATATACAAACAATGCATAGAATATCAATTAATATTCTCTCTGTCCTCTACAATGTCCCAGTACAAAAATTCAAGAAGGTATAATTAATAAATATTTAATAATATATTAGTAAAAATAATTATCGTATAATAAAAATAATTTTAAATTAAAATTAAAATAACTCATTAATCTAATTAAAATTTAAAAATGAGATTAAAGTGTATAATAGTATATATTTTCTCCGTCCACCTCTAATGGTTAGATTTAACTTTTGAATCATTGTACTTCATATTAAAAATATCCTTATATTTGTATAATTATTTTATACAAATATTATTATATTAGTATTACAAGATATTAATAGAAATATTTTTGCGATTTTTTTTTGATTTGTACTGTACTTTTTATAATAATTAATATTAAAAAATCAAAACAGCAAAAATAATTGTAGCCCTTATACATAACCGAGAAAATATTTTATTTACTAAACAAAAAAACATTTAATACAAATATATATATATATATATTATTTTATATTAATAATATAATTTTTCATACCTAAATATAAAAAAAAGCACATACATTTAAAAACACAAAGGGAACATAAATTTTAGTCAATCTTTCTACAATACAAGCATTCATAAAGTATTTTAAATACACATTTTGGATAATAGTTCTAGACATTATAAAAACGTCAAATTTTGCGTTATTTTTTGGTGTTGCTACAGTGCAACGTCAATTTTAGTGTTGCACTGTAACAATGCCAAAAAATGACGTTGCTTTATTATTATTATTTTTTAAATTTTTTAAAATTTTAAAATTATAAATTTGACTTTTAAATTTAATTTTAATTTTTTAAAATTTTTATTTTAAATCATAAAAATAAAAAGTTGTTTAAAATAATAAGAAAAATTAAATATTTGAAGGATACACATTTTACAAAATATAACTGCTAGCATATAATTTCAGATTAAAATAAATTAATATTTTATTGATATATAATGTAATAAAATAATATAATGTTTATTTTTTTTTTGAAAAAATAATTTAAAAAAGTAAAAAATAATGGTATTTTGATATTTAGTTGATTTTTTTTTTCTTTTAAAAAATAAGAATTTTGTATTTGAACAAACTAAATAATAAATAAAAAGTTTACTAGTTGAGAGAGTGAATATATAGTATTAATTACTCGTTCAGTCTCTTGTAAAATATTAAGTTAAAATTTGTAAAATTTATAGTTAATTCGTTGTTTAATTGAAATAAAAAAATTTAAATTATAAAATTTAAAATATAATTAAATTTATACTTATGTTTTTATATCTAAAACAGATCAAAATAAAAATATTGATACTTGTCTTTATGTAGGATTGGAGGAGCAATATTGTCTTATTAAATTTAATTTAAAATAAATTAATACGCACTGCTATAAAACAAATATATATATATATATATAACTTGCATATTGAGTAAAATAATTAGCAGCGTAATAAAAACCATCAAATCAAAAAATTGAATTTTATTGTCTGGGGAAACAAACACGCCGCTAGTCAGCAACGTTCAAATCAATCTTCGTTTTTTTGAAAAGGAATAGTTCAAGAACCCACCAAAACCTAAAATCCCAATCGTCGATAATTTGGTGGAAAGGTTGTCTTAAGCGAATCAACGACCAATCTCGGACCACATTCCTCTGTCTCCTCCTTCGATTTCGCACATCGTAATTGCTTTGCTGAGAGGACGACGACTGATATCATATAAATCGTTGCCTAGCTAAGAACCCTAATTTCTTCGATTGATCATCCTTCGCAAATGGCACCCTCGATGTCCAGTTCGCATCCCGCGTCTGAAACCCCTAAATTCGATTTTCCCTCCAATTTAAAATCTTCCGAGAGCTTCAGATTTTCTCCGGGCTCAATTAACGGCGCTGGATTTCACTGGTCGAAAGCAGGTCCGGAGAAGTCAAATCCGCCGAGCCGATCCAAGCCGAGGCTGACGAAGATCAGGAGGAAGCAAGCGGCGGCTCGTGAAGTCGGGGAGTCGGTTGCAACTGATTTGGGGTTGAGCGTCTCACGCGACGAAGTTAAGCTCGATTGTAACTTTGGGGATTCGGCTGCGGGTGAAAGTAAGAGTGCAGGATTCAATTGGAGTGCAAACAATGGGGCTTGGGATGGATTAGGGTTCGTGCTTGGTAAGCGTTTGGATTTGAATTTGGAAAGTGAGCCTTGTTCAGATTCTGGTGTTGATAAGAATGAATCACTTTTGAATTTAAATTTTAGTCGGCAAGAGATTAAAGCTGAAAAATCTAGCGATATCAAATTTACATTAGAGCAAGAAGTTTTGAATAATGATGGGGGGTTTCGATTTCGATTTCCTTTTGATCAGTGTAGGGAAGATAGTAGCAATAGTTTTATATTTGGTTCTACTAAGAATGAATCTACAGGAAGTAGCTCGGGTTCAAAGATTGAAAAGAATGCTTCTGTTAAAGATGGTGGAAATGCTGATACTGATACTAACTGTGTAGAAAATAATCAGAAATTTATGTTTGGTTCTGGTAAAAGTGATGTAAAATCGGGTGTGGATTCTGAGGATAATCCAACCAGTACATATAAGGACATGTTTAATTTCGCAAGCGGTGGTAAAGAAGATGATAAGTTTCCAAATGCTCGTCGAGATGGTGTTTTTGTTTTTGGAGGATTGAATGAGAAAGGGGGATTCAATTCTTGTGGTGATAATGGTTTTGGGCAGCATATAAACAATTCTGTTTCGGATAGTAGCTTTAAATTTCAGAGCAGTGGCACTTCTGGTCGAGTATTTGAGGAAAACAGTTCGTTTTGTATATCAAATGAGATGAACAAGTTGAATATTGATGAAACTAGCAGGCGAGGAAGTTTTTTTCCGGTGAAGGGTGGCGTGTTTGTGTTTGGAAGCAACCTAAGTAATCCTGAATCAAGTGGAAATTCATCGTCTTTCTCCACAGATGGTGGATTCGGAATCCTAAAAAATGGTAGCTCCATGAATAAAGATGATACTGATGGAAAATTTTCTGGAGCCGATCAATCAGATATGAAATTTGCATTTCCAAGCTTCAGTTTTACTCTCGGCAGGGATAATGAAAATGCAGAACCACAGGTGAAGAAAAGATCGAAGAAGAAGAATGGAAAGACAAGACCAAAAACCATAGTTGAACAGTTGTTAGGTGGAAATAAGGTTCAGCAAAATCAAAATTCTTGTGATGTTGGTTCGCCGATGGATTTTTCGCCTTATCAAGATGCTAATGACGGCACTAAAGTAACGGGAGAATATGTTGCAGGCGAAACAGATGCTGTGGAGACCAATTCAAATTTGTCTCCTTCGGTACCATCACAAGATGGTCTGTCGTCTGTGAGAAATGTTTATAAAAAGAAGTATAAGTTAAAAGTCGGCTCGAATCGCAAGGTCCAATGTAATGATTCCGACAAAGAAAATGCAGAACAGGAACCTAGAGGGACTACACCTCATGAAGTGTGTGAGCATTGGCGAATAAGGTACATTTGTATCACTTATTCTTTTTACGAACAAAATTCTATTGCAACCATTTACTTAACAAAATTCTACAAACATTCGATTTGATTTAGGGGAAATGAGGCTTACCACGCCGGAAAACTTTCTAAAGCCGAGGAGTTCTACACGATGGGAATTAATTCGGTGGCGCATGTTAGTACCTTAGGGTATTCCATGAAGCCGCTTTTACTCTGCTATAGCAACCGTGCTGCCACACGAATGTCACTTGGGAGGATGGTGGAGGCCATTGGAGATTGTACAAAAGCAGCGGCGCTAGAGCCGAATTTTCTGAAAGTTATATTAAGAGCTGGAAAGTGAGTATTTTTCATCCATATTTCAAAAACAGTTATGTTTATGGTTCTTTTATGTTGACTTTGATCGCTTGGATTAATATAATTGGCAGTTGTTACCTGGTGTTGGGAGAAATTGAAGAGGCAATTCAGTGTTTCGGTAAGTGCTTGAATTCAGGGTCCGACTTTTGCTTGGACAGGAGATTTACGATTGAAGCTGCAGAGGGACTGCAAAAGGCAAAGGTGAGATAGGAGACTTATCATGAATTTTTTGTGCTTAATAATCGCTTGTAGAGCTGTTAAACGAGCCTAGCGAGCTCGAGTATTTGTTGTTCGAGCTTGAATCGAATTTGTTAATAGTACAGGTTTGGCTTGGTTTGTTAAGAATTCGAGCTAAAATAGTGGCTTGAGCTCGGCTCATTAAGAATTTGAGCCAAAATAGTGGCTCTAACTTGCCTCGTTTGGCTCAAATTTAGGCTCAAGCTCGGCTTGAATTTTATACATATCTTATAGATTTTTTAATATATAAATTAAATATTTTTGTTAATAGTATAGGTTTGGCTTGGTTTATTAAGAATTCGAGCCAAAATAGTGGCTCTAGCTCGGCTCATTAAGAATTTAAGCCAAAATAGTGGCTCGAATTTGGCTCATTTGGCTCAAATTTAGGCTCAAGCTCGGCTTGAATTTTATACATATCTTATAGATTTAATTTTATACATATCTTATAGATTTATTAATATATAAATTAAATATATTTAATTTTATTCATAATTTATTATAATAAAATATTGAAATCTTATTAATAAATACATTTTGTATATATTATATTATATAATATATAAATGATATAAACGTATTATCATTAACGAGTTCAATTGAGCTAACCGTGAGCTGAGAAAAATTTTCGAACTCAAGCCCGAGTCGAGCTGTTAATGAACCAGGTTGGGCTTGGCTCGCGAGCTACTCGATTTGTTTAAGAACTTTAATTGCTCGTATATTATTTGATATTTTGTAGATCGTTGTCTGATTAATTCTAGTGACAAAAGATTGTTGTTGTTCCTTCGTGTATTTTCATGTGATGAATATTTTTTGATTGACAGAAAGTTGCCGAGCACATGCGCGAATCCACGAAGCTCTTGCAAGAAGGAACTCCCGATGCCGCAAGCAGTGCTCTTGAAAATATTGACGCAGCTTTGTCGATAAGCCGTTACTCGGAGAGGTTATTTGAGTTGAAAGCAGAGGCTTTATGCAATGTATGTGCAAAATCTCATTCATACATTCTATTCGTTGAGATCTTTTATATAGTTGACTTTTATAGTTATGTGAGTTAAGTACTTTAACGATGTTGTTGATTCAGATGCGGATGTATATTGAAGCAATTAACTTCTGTGAGCAAACTCTTGATGTTACCAAAAAGAATTATGATCCGGATCATTCAGATAATCCCAACTACAAGAATCCTCGTGTTAAATCATGGAGGCGGAACCTGCAGATTAAGTCATATTATCATCTTGGGAAGCTTGAATTGGCGCTTGAATTGATTGAAAAGCAAGAAAAGTTGGGTGTCAGCGATTCCAAGTAAACTTCTTTAACTCTAGTCTGAATTTCATTGTATTTACATGTATTTGTGATGTTAATTTCATTTTTTTTGATGCATAGTTCGGAAAGCTCGATTCAGGATTTGCCAATTTCTTTTGCTGCTACTGTACGGGATCTTTTATGTTTAAAGGTATGTTGAGTGCTAATACATAAAGCTTTGTACATAAATTCATAAATTTTTCGTGTAAAAGCAATACGTTTAAATTTCCATTTTATACTTGCTGCAGAAATCAGGAAACGAAGCCTTTACTGCTGGACGGTATGCAGAAGCAATAGAGTTTTATACCTCTGCAATATCGAAAAGTTTTGAGTCGCGCCCTTTTATGGCCGTATGCTTTTGTAATCGTGCTGCTGCGTACCAATCACTCAACCAAATCGTAGATGCCATTGCAGATTGCAGTATAGCAATTGCCCTTGATGAAAATTACCAAAAGGTTAGTTACTATATAGTAAACATAAATGTTGTTAACTTGCCCCAGTCCACTATTGCCGATCATCTGCTTACCAAGAGCATCCCTATTCTTTTCTGCCTATAACGCATATTGATTAGGACATCGATAACAAATTTCACCCAGTTGTTTTAGAAGACAAAAATTCATTTTTCTAGTGAAAAGAATTAGTGGTAGTTTATTTCATTCGAGAGAGAGTTAACATTAGGGATTGGGAGTGAAAATGAAAATGAGAAGAACATGAATTTGAAGAGCGACATCGATATAGTATGGGGGTTGTTTGCTCGGCTTTATTGTCAATTGTGCTTGTTGAATTATATGTTTATATATATTTATATGTAGGCAATATCCCGGAGAGCTACCTTGTATGAGATGATAAGAGATTATAAGCAAGCAGCAATTGATCTTCAGAGTCTGGTCGAACTTCTTGCGAGGAAATCTCAAGCCAAGAATCAACAAAATGATTCTCAAAGTAGATCGAGTGGAGGAGGCAGTGTGAGGGATTTAAGAAAAGCTCGTCGTCGTCTTTCCTCAGTTGAAGAGAAGGCTAAAGAGGAGATTTCCCTCGATCATTACCTCATTTTGTAAGTCCAATCACTATACATACAAACATACATACATACATATATATATACATACATAATTTTAACTCAAGCATATTTTAAATCGTGATTTTGATTTTGATTTTAAATATTGCTTGGTAGAGGAATCAAATCATCAGACACAGAATCTGAGATCAAGAAGGCATATCGAAAGGCGGCTCTCAAGCATCATCCGGACAAGGTATTGTGGCCTTATTCTTACATGGTTTTCAATTATCCGAAAATCTTGTCTTGACACACTTGTTTATCCTCTGCAGGCCAGCCAGGCCTTGGCGAGAAGTGACCATGGGGATGGTGGTACTCTCTGGAAGGAAGTTGGTGAGAAAATCCACGAGGATGCTGACAAGCTATTCAAAATAATCGGGGCAGCATATGCTGAACTTTCAGATCCATCCAAGGTACAATCAAAGCCCTTATATATAATCATGAGAAAGAAGCTAACTATCAGAATAACTAGGGGTGAAAACGGTTCGGGTATTTTGCAAATATACAGATATATGATATTCGAATCGAACCGAATAAATACTTGAAACTGCGAACTGTATCCGAACCGAACCGAACTGAATTTTCAGTTAACCGAAAATATTTGCAAATAATTTGAACCAAATTGAACCGAATGTTTGGTTAACCGAAAATATTTGCAATATTTGCAAATAATTCGAACCAAACCGAATTTTTAATTAACTGAAAATATTTGCAATATTTGCAAATAATTCGAACTGAACCGAAATTAAAAAAATACATTAAAAATAATTAAAATTTTAATTAAATAAAAATATTTGTAAATATTCCGACCGCCGAACTGAATATAATTATTAATATATATTTTAAGATATAATAGTATAAATATATTCGGTTCGGATAAATATAAAAAATCAAAATCGAATAGAATCAAACAAATATTAAATATACAGTATTTGTATTCGAACGGGATTTGCTCGGTTAATAAAAAAATTCGGTTCGATTCAACGGTTTAGCGATTCGGTTCGATTTTTTCGCCCACCCCTAAGATTAACGATTATATTACACTTTGTACATCTCATTTCTGTTCCAATATTGTGCGTCGATTGTTTTGCAGCGATCCAAATACAATATACAAGAGGAGTTTAGGAATTCTTACAAGGACAGCAACAGAAATAGCAATTCAGGTCAACCATCGACATCTTATAGTTCTCCATACGAACGGGAAAGTAATGTGTATGGAAGACATTCCGGATTCGGCACTTCATTTCACAGAAACAACAGCCGGCGACATGGTTTTGACTCAAGAACTTACGGATCTTCCTATTCCCGATGGTAGATCAAGCAAATTCACTTGGAAATACACAGAAAGTTCTTATAATCGAATAGGATTGCAGATTACGGGCTCTTCCCGGAAGGTAATTCAAGATATCCATCCTTGAATGATTTTCTATATATCTTCGACATTTTTTGGACGTGCGGTTGATTATCCCGTTGCATTGATTTTTGAGCTATGTTGAAGATGCTGGAAGATGTTTCGAATATTTGAAGGGGAAACATCTCTTGCAGCTTGAGAAATATACATGTCTTTGTTTATTAATTTGTTCGAATGTTATATGAAGAAACTTCGATTGTTGAATTGGTTGTCGTGGTGGGATCGTCCATTGTGAAGTGTAATAATTCTTGAGAGTTGGGGCAATTTGTCGAGATTAATGTTGTACTATTTGGTAGATTTTGATGTTTTTCTGAGATCACATGAAATTTGTTCGAACCAAATACTTATGGCTTGTGAATTTGCGATGAAATTACCTCATTTTTCCGACAAGAATGAATTTGTTGTAGATTTCTTGCGATTTGTTTGTGGGTTTGGGTTTAGATTTTTAAATAGTAAAAAGTTGAATTTGAATAATTGTTTGATGTGATATAAATAGACAATAATGTGATATTTTGAATATAAAATAAATTTGTAGTATAATAAAAAAAATAAAGTAATTATTTGATTTGATATTTTTGGAAAAAAGAATCTGAATAGTAAAAATTGTCTAAAAAATTCACAAAAGGACACAACTTAAAGGTTTTGTTTAGATATCTTTTGGGAGATGTTTAGAGTTTTGGAACTTACAGGGAACAATATAAAAATTATACGCTAAATTGTACAAAATTATCTGTAATTTTATGAAATTATGTCAAATCTTATATATTTGTAAATCTGTGTTAAACTCTTTCGTAATTTCATAAACTCTGCGTTTAAGCTCTACGGCAGTATTTATTTAACGGTAGTTGACCTAAGTGCGCCTAAATTGCGAATAAATTTTAGAATTTTAATTTGTAAACCCCTATCCATTGTGAAAATATATTCAGGGTGTATTTGGTTTGCACTTAAATTTTAATTTTATGTTTGTATTTTAATTGTTTAACCGGTTGTTAAGTCTATTTTGTTAGCTTTATATTTACTAGCAGAATATATATAATATATGTCACGGTTGACATTTCTTCCCCAGGTTCTCAGCTTATATTCCAGGCGTATTGGGCACAGAAGAGAAGACGACTGGTCTAAGCCTCAGTCCAAGTGTGACTTAGGCGTCGGGCGTGTCAGCTTCCGGGCATATATATATATATATACTTTATATTCTCACAAGGATAACGATACCATACAAAATATTATTTTTTTATATTATTAAAATTATTTCTTATACATAATATAAAAAATATGAAAATACACAATGAACACACTAAAGTTTGTGAATATGATCTCCACATACTAATAGAACACTCTTATTTTTACTTAAAATTTCGATCGTACCATTCCTCATCAGTTATACTATCGGAGACATTTTCGTCACTACACTCTTATACACTATTCACTATACATAAAATAAAACTTTTTTTTTCCTTTTAATTACATTCGATATATATATATATATATTACGAAAAAAAACAATGTATTCTTATAAAAAATCATAAAAAGAAATTGAAAAGAACTCTAAAATACAATGATTATAAATAATGACCACTTGTCTACAAATGGTACATCAACATATAGAGGCCCTTCGTCTACCTCTGTTAGGAAAATTCATCATTAATGGCCTCCTCTTCTGCCGTCACCGCCGCCACCATAGAAGTGGAGGTGTCCGGCGAACGGCGCAAACATGTCCAAGAAATGTCCGAAGACGGCGACGAGGTTCCCCAAGGATATGTGTGGAAAGACAAAAGTAGACATGGACCCATAGAACTTGTTGTCCCTTTGGCTGAGGATTTCCCCGTCATTGATCTCAGTCGCCTCTTGTCACCGTCGACTGCCATTGATGCCGCCGCGGAGCTCGCCAGCCTCCGCTCCGCTCTTCGCTCGTGGGGCTGTTTCAAGGTTTTTTTCTTTTTTTTTTTATTTTTAAATTTGTCTTTCCCGTCTTCTAAGGAAAAATAAAGACTCTGTTTACTTGAAATTTCGTTTTAATTTTGGTACGATTCAATTTACAGTAGATATAAGATGAAATGCATATTTTTATTTGAAGAATTTACGACCCAAAACATAACACAATTACATCTACAATAGTATCTATATTGACGTTCTAAAAGTATCAATTTTATATTCAAATCATCGGATCATATTAGATCAAATCACATACAAGAATTTTATAATGCAAAACAAAACACATACAAATCATAATTTGAGTTCGAATTAGAGTTTCTTTACTTTGTGGTTTGAAATTGCTTTGAAATGAGGTGCCGATTTGAATTTTTGTTTCAATAGTATTTTGATATGATGTTTTACGAGAAAAAATATTGTATTTTTATACATAGCAAATATTTTTCATTTCAATTTAAAATTACAAAAGATAAAAAGCTTAAGTGTGTCGAAATATTCTTCTTTCTTTGTACATATGAGAATGTTACTAAATTTGAGGGAGTTTTTGTTTTTGTTTTTCTGTTTTAAGAAAGAACTAAAACTATAATTGCTGTGATAATTTTTATATATATATATATATATATATATTTTTTTTTTAATTTTTTTTTCTTTAACAAGAAAAAAATATCACAGGTATCGAATTTTTTTTTTTTCAATTGACTTTGTGAATATTTTGGTTGTTTTTGATTAATCTGGATGTGAAATTTTTTGATGAATATACTATACATTTTTAATGCGATACATTAAATTAAAAATTATTTTGAATATTTTATTTCAAATAGAAAAAAAAATATAAATGATTTCAAAAAAAATATTTTATTACAATTTGCATGCCAATCATGGAAGATCGTGCTTATCCTTCGATTAATTTATTCATATTACAAGTCAACATTTTCAGCTATCCATTTATCATTATTATGTTTAAATATTGGTATATATAAAATAAGAAGTATATAATTTATTTTACATTTTATCTTCACGTTACTCAAGGGAGATGTTGGCGTGTTAATATGATGCATTGTTAGGACATATTTTTTGTATCGAAATAAATGATTTTATATACTCCGTGGACAATTATTATATTGTATTTGTATTATATTTATATAAATTATGTGATGGCTGTTATTATTTTGGTAACGATCTGTTATTTATTGATGTACTTATTAGCACCGTGCTGAATTAAAAAATTCAGTAAAGTAATTGTCGACTTATTTAAACTATGCAGTTCATATATATATATATATATAATCTTGAAAAGATAGGAATTATGAAGACTTTTATATTTTTCAATGTTTATTATTTTTCGAAAATTAATTATCACTACAAAAAAAGAAATATATATGTAACAGAATTCCGTCCCTAAAGTTCACGTAGCTAACGTAATTTTATTCCTAATTCCGTCTCTAATGTCATTAGTAACAGAAAAAGTAAATTTAGAGAAAAATATTTTGTTACAAAAATGATTTTTTCTTATAGTGTATGAAAAAATATTTATATTAATATTTCATATATACATTGTAAAATAAATTAGCGGGTATATGTTTATATTCAAAATCTTAATATAGAATAGCGATTTAAAGTATTCGTCGCATTACTAATGATCATGGATGGACTTTTATGCCTTAATGTGTATATTATTGTAGGCAATCAACCATGGGATCGACATTTCTTTACTAGAAAATCTACGCCAATTTAGTCGAGAATTTTTTCACCTACCAATGGCCGAGAAGCAAAAATATGCCCGAGGAGCTGCTGGCAATGATGGATATGGCACCGATCCGATGCTATTTAAAAACCAACCTCTCGATTGGACAGATAGACTATTCCTCACCGTTACCCCGCGATCCCATCAAAATCTCCAATATTGGCCCGAAAACCTCAGGTAAATCAAATCGGAAAATAACACCCCGGGAATAATATATGATATATATATGTATGTCTTTTTTAATATAAAAACGTGAGGGATAATTTTTTTTTTCTTTTTAGTCTCGCATATGACATACTTTATATATAAATTTGATCTTTTGTTCTTGCATAAAAATAGTTTAATATTTCTTTCATCGTTGAAAATATACTTTTTGATTTAATTTTGTATATGTATTTAAAAACTTAAGTCCATATTAACATTTTATATTAGAAATTGCCACATCGTTAGTCTATATTATTTCCGATGGTACCATGTCAACATACATGACATTATTCCAGTATTAGTAGACTTTTTCAACTATTACAAATTAGATACAAGTCTTTCTACACAGATTTTTCTTAAAGATCAAAATGATCGATACTTTATACAAAATTTATTGCACAATTTATTTTTGTATTAAAAAAGACGTAGGTAGAATTTCTATTCTCACGATTTTTTTTCATACAAATATAGGATTTCTACGTACAACTATAATTTATTTTTAATTTTAAGTGAATATAATTGATCGTTTGAGCTTTGTTCTTTTTATGTTTTCTTTCCGTACATTTTTCCAAAAAAAATTAATACACTAAACACATTTATTATTTTATATTCCCTACACAATTTGCTATACTTCACATAATTTTTTTTTCTTTTCAACAAATCTCTCAAAACAAACACACCCTTGTCGTAGGGACATATTGAATGAATATGCGGATAAGGTGGGCAAGATCCAAGTCGAGCTTCTTAAAGCCATGGCAAGGTCATCAAACTTACCTGAGGATCGATTTCTAAAGCAATATGGCGAACAACCATATATGGTTGCAAGATTCAATTTCTACCCTCCTTGCAAAAGGCCGGATTTAGTTCTTGGGCTTAAGCCACATTCGGATGGGTCAGCATTGACGTTTCTGCTGCAAGACGACGAGGTTAAAGGCCTACAGTTGCTCAAGGACGATAACTGGTTCGAAATTCCTACAATGCCCCATGCGTTGCTTGTCAATGTCGGAGATCAGCTCGAGGTAAGCTACATAAAATACCCTTTAGGTAAAATCACACGAGCGAAATAAAATAGGGAGTGTTAAGCGTGCGCACATACACATATATATCTGGTCGTGAACTCAATAATAATATATAGAAAACTAAAAGTAGAATCAGAAGCAATAGTTGAAATTCTTTTGAGTATTGAATTATCTGATAGCAAATTATTTTGCTTATACAGAATCAATAAAAAACTAATTAAATATGCGGCTAATTTCGTGTAGATAATGAGCAACGGAGTATAGTTTTTTGGTTGTAAAGTCACTAATAATAATAATAAATTAAAAGTAGAATTAGTTAAAAACAATAGTTGAAATTCTTCTGAGTATTGAATTATTTGATAGCAAATTATTTTGTTTACACAAAATCAATATAAAACCTAAATGTGAGACTAATTTTGTATAGAGAATGAGCAATGGAATATATATATATATTTGTTCGTAAACTCTAGAATTAGAAGTAACAATTGAAATTCTTTTGAGTATTGAATTGTTTGATACAAAATTATTATTTTGCTTCACAAAATCAGTGAAAGGCTAAATATATGACTAATTTTGAATAGATAATGAGCAATGGAGTAATATATATATATATATATATATATTCATAAACTCAATAATAATAAAAAACTAAAATAAGAATTAGAAGCAATAGTCGAAATTCTTCGAAGTATTGAACTATTTGATAGAAAATTATTTTGTCTACACACAATCAATAAAATGCTAACTATGCGACTAATTTCTCGTAGATAATGAGCAATGGAGAGTTTAAAAGCCCCGTGCACAAAGTGATTATAAACTCGGAAAGGGAAAGAAACACATTGGCTTTGTTTTGCTCTCCGGATGTTTCAATGGAGATTGGGCCGGTGGAGGAGTTAGTCGATGGCGCGCGGCCTAGGTTGTTCAAGAATATACAAAATTATATTCCAACCTATTTCCACTACTTTCAGCAGGGGGAAATGCCTATTGACGCGATGAGAATTTAATTCTATGTTGTCATTATAGGTGTTGTAAGAGCTTCACGGCGACCAAAAGCGAATCGAGTGATATTGTTTATATTCTTGGGGTTTCTACGGTTTGAATAAGATTTTGGAACGTCGATTTAATTATACGAGGCTTCTACATTGAAATATGACAATGACTTGAAAAACATCGAAATTGTTTTTAAGAGCTTAGGGTACTATGTTGTCACAAGGTACAAATGTTTATTTGAACAAATTAAAGAACGCTCGCACACATTCAACTTTTTTGCAAATTAAGATGCAAAAAGTTAATAATTTAAAATAAAATATTATTTTTTTTTATATTATTAACATAATTGTTTTAAAAAAGTAAATTTATCCAAAAACATAATATGAACAAACCAAATATTGATTCGTTTATATAGTTGAATTAATCTTTAATTTAAACATCAATATTCAATTGATGATATATATATAAAATTATATATTATACACTAATTTTTTTATTTTTTTTATTATTATTATAATGTACTCTCAATCATTGGAATCTCTTCTTATTCTCTTTGTAAAATACAAAAACAAAAAAAAAAAAAACATATGGAACATATTTCAATGATGAAAGTAGTATACAAATACCACTTCAATATATTTAGTCATCAATATATATTAACATTCTTCTAACATACATTGATAAAATAATTCGATCATACTTTATCAACAATATATATATATATTCCACTGGTATGTGGTAGACTCGTGATCGTAAGATAATAATTTCAAACCCCTGAAGCCTCAAGTCTTATTATAAAAAAAAATTTATGTATATACACACGACTAGAATCGGACGAGAGAGTATAAATTTACTAAATTAATTCAATTTCCCATCAATAATTTGGGCCATGTATGTTTATGGCCGTACAGGCCCGTCTAGGCCCATTTTGTTTCCCAAATAATATATAAATAAATATATATATATATATTAAAAGTTAAAAAATATATCAACATATTGTAATATCTATTATGTAATATTAAAGAGTATTTAGAATTATAGAAGATTAGGATTGAATAATAATAATAAAAAAAATAACATATAATATATGTGAATATTATTTTATTTATTAATATTGAATCATTGATAAATGAAAAGGTAATTTTCAATTAAAAGAGTCTCAAATGATTTTATAACATAATTTTAAATAACCAATTGAAATTTTTTAACTTATTAAAGTTATAAATTTATATACGAATTTTTCACTTATTTATCATATTTTAGTAACATATATGAGTAATATATGAATTTTAATATTATAAGAATATTTAAGTATTATCTATAATTTATTTTATTTTAAAATTATTTATATTAATAATATTTAAATATTTAATATTATTTTTTGTTTACTTTATTAAATTATTTACTTTTTGTGAGTGGATAAAATATATATTATATAAATATGTGTATATTGTATTTTTTTTAATATATAATATTTATATAAAATTGTTCCATCTAAAAACATTGTAAACATGAAAATTTATATTTTATAATATAAATATAATGTTAATTATATTTTTTTAAATAAAAAATTTAAAATACTATAATAACTGAATTTAATTTCTTTTTATTAAATATACTACATTAAATTTTATTTTCACGATAATTAATCAATTATTTTATAGCCATTTCAATCATAAAATTCATCTAAGCAGCATCTCAACTATCTTAATCTAATCATAAATTTCTCACTTTTTGTATGAGTATTTGATTTTGTTTTGTTTTTTCTATTTTTATTTTTTAACTTTTTAATTTTTAATTTTTTTTGGTATTGTTTATTACTTCATCCGTCGCAACTAATTTGTTTTCTTTAGTTTAAACACGAACTTTTAGGTATTGTGAAATTAATAAATAATTAAGAAATGTATTAGTGAGAAATAAATATAATTTAATAAATATAATTATAGATTAAAATTAACCTGACTAAATAGTTTAATGAAAATAAAAAAAATTATGAATTATAAATTTTAAAATGTGATTAAAGTGTAAATTATATTTCTAGAAAAGAAAAAAAGATATTTTATGTGAAACAAACGAAAATAGAAAAAGTTAATAAATTAAATGCGACAGAGGAATTGTTATTTTTGAGAAATTGCAACTGTGAAATAGCGTTGGAAGAATATAAGGTATTTTTATTAAAACTTGATGTAGATAAATGATATTGATTTGAATTTGAGATGATAAAAATAAATTGTTTTTTAAAATTATAATATGTTAATATAATTGTAACATTATTTTTTTGCTCTTCTCAATATGGATGGAATAATGAAAGTGGAATAGAAAAAAATACGAGGACCTGAAGTTGCTGTCCATGTTTTACGCTACACACTTTTACTCATTTAATACTATTTATTTTATAAAAAAAATCGCATCAACTATAATTTTTTTCTCACAAAATATCACATAAAATACTAACTTTTTATTTTTTCTAAACTTTCAAAATTCAAAAAACTTTCCAAAAACTCCTATCTAAACAAAGCCGAAATTTTTGTTTATATAAATATAGCTTTTATAGCTTGATGAATGAGGTCAATGTTCCCTCCATTCAATTCCAGTCAATTCGCTCCGTCTCTCGGCCTTTTTTTTTTTGTTTTTTCAGACACTTTTACTCATATTTTAATTATCACCGTTACATCATACATCCATTTACATAAATATATATAAATATAAGTAGGGATGTCAAATCTGCGGGTTCGAGTCTAAAAAATTTGGTTTGAGACAAATTATAGATTTTGAGTTTTAGATTCGGCTGGGTTCGGGGTGGGTTACGGATTTTACTATAAACCCGCCCCACTCTAGACTTGGACCCGAATCCGGATATTTTAATAATTATTATAATTTATTTATACTTTTATACCATATAAATTATATTATTTATTTATTTAAAAAAAATTAAATATACCATAGAACATTAATTTTGCATTAAATTTATCTTCGCATTTGTTTCTCTTACAAATTCTCTTTATAGTCGCGATTACTGCTGACCGTCATCACTATGGATTATCGTCAATATTTGATTGTTCTTATTTTTAAAACTATAATTTTTTGGTACTTTGACGCATGTTTCTTTTTGTATTAGATTATTTTTTAAAATTTTTATTTTATTCTTTTTTTGAAAAAAAAAAACGAGTTTATTAGGTTGGCCCTGAATCCGGAGGGTTCGGGACGGGACAAGTCCTGGGGACGGGTTAAAGTGGGGCGGGGCGGGTTGGGTCTTGGATCCCAATATTTTTTAATGGGACGGATCCCATATCTCTCCTAAAAGTTGGTTAGCTACCAGACCTGTAAAATCCGTCCCAAACCCGCTCCGTTGACATACCTAAATATAAGACTCACACCACACATAACATACATATGACGTATATACACATCAAATATATATTATATTATATTATATATATAAAATAGTGATTAACTATAATTAATTTACGGCACTCTAAAGAATACATTTTGAATTTTTAATTTGGGAAATACTTACTCAAATAAGTGGGTCACAACTAATACTATACTCCAGAGTCCACGAAATTTATGCTAATTTAAATTAGATACGAATTTTCATAAATATAATACTTAATTGTGGTATAAATTAATGATATTTTTATAAATATATGAATTAATAGAAAGTTTTTGATAAATTGAGAATATTATATTTGTTAATAAATATAGTATTAAATTATATAAATCATATATAGTGTGCAATGTTTGGTATATAAAAAAGCATATATATATATATTTTGAACAGAAAAGAAAAAATAAATAAACTTGAACAGAAAAGAAAAATAAATAAACTTAGGGTGTGTTTGTTTGGGGGTTTGGATTTTGAGTTCGGATTTGGATAGTAAAAATTTTGAATTTGAATAGTTGTATGATGTGATATAAACAGGTGTTGACGTGATGTTTTGAATGTAAAATTGATTTTTAGTATAATATAAAAAATAAAAAATAAGTGTTTGATTTGATTCTTTTGGAGGAAAAAAATTGGATGAATAATGTAAATCCAATCCAATCCCCAAACAAACACACCCTTAGTGGACGGAGTAAGTATTTAATAGCCCATTCGACTGTCAAAATTATATCATTATTTTTTTTAATGTCCGCTAAAGCACATTGTATTTATAATAAAATATTTCTGCCAATTTTTTTTTTTTTTTTTTAATTATACGACTAATTAAATACATTATCTAATTATGGTTCTAAAACGAGACTCACATATAAAACTAAATAAATAAAACTAAATAAATAGGTTTCCCTGTATATGATTACATTTGCATTAATATATTTATAAAATCAAATTTAATTTATTTTTCTATCAAATTTATTAAATCAGTATTTTATATCTATGTTATCAATTATATGATTGATTATATAAACATTACAATAAAACTTACACAATTTTTTTTTTTTAATCTAAACACATCTTAAACTCTAATACCATATTTTAAATTATTATTATTATTATTATTATTATTATTATTATTATTATTATTATTATTATTTTCAAATTCAAAACTTTACAAACCAAATTAACTTCCAAAACTTTTGTCTGAATGCAACTATTATTTTTTCTTCCCTTCATCTTTATTTGATACTCTCAGGGTTGGCTAGTGCTAGGTCAACTCAGGGATGAATCAGTGCTAAGTTATTCAATATTGAATATAGTTTAAATGGATTGAATAAATCACTTATATCATTTTTCTTTTTCGAGAGTTCTACTAAACGAACTCTAGAGTTAACGTGGCCTAAAGTAATTTGAGATGGGTCACAGGATGCGCGTGAGTGATGACAAAACACGATGACAGAACTTATGTTGACTTATGAGGCCAATTTACGATCTCAACACACCCGATTTTGCGTAGCTTGTGGGCCGGGATGTTCCATTTGAGTTTTGATTTAATTAGACGAATGAATGTAACATTTTATTATATAAAATAATATATGTATATATATATCATTTAAAATCGTATGAACTATATGACAAACAATTGAAAAAAAAATCTTCGTAGGGTTGG